CTCGCACTGGATGGATTTATTTAAACAAATTACTTTTTAATCCAAACCATAGAGCTAAATTTTAAATTAAAACATGCAAAAGGTTGGAAAACATAAGAATCTTTGAACCTTATTTTAAATTCCTTCTCGAAAAAAACTGTAGAATTTTAAGTTAAAGCGGGGTATTTAAAAACTTAATTAAAAATTTATTCCCAATAATTCCCTGGTCGCCATAAATCTTTAAAACTATTCACAACAATTTGAAAGGGACGACCCTTCCCAAGTTCGGGTAGGATAGGTACGACGAAAACGCTGTCATTTCAACTTCATTTATTAAATATTTCCTTAATTTCAAGCTTAATTAAAACGATAAATGAACATTGCTTTCTATGAACGGACGAAACACGAAATTGCACGATTTTAATTTTCAATATACCCGTGGTAACATTTAATATGATAATTATTCAATCATTGCTTTGAAGAGGTCCTTTTGAAGATGGCATCGGTAATAAGGTGCATAAAAATTTAATTTAGTCATGAAATTAATTAACATCATACCGTTAATATAAAAATAATTATTATATATAAGGGTTATTTACACAGTTATTTAGCGAGAGCTTGACTTGATTCGTATCAAAATTTTGTATATTTTTGTGTATTTTTCGCTTTTCTTAATGAGAACGGTGGTTGCAGCTAGTATTGACGTCAATGAAATTTATATAGTTATTAAAACTTATTACAAGCACCCATAATGGATGGTGGGCTGTTTAAAATAGAAACGTCGTATTCTATTGTACTTGAATATTAAAGACCGGATCGAGCTCTTTGTGTACAGGCCACTGACTGCTAACCACTAGTTACCATTGTGTTCACAGAGAAAGAACATTTACTGTTATTACATCCAGAATGAATAGCGCTTAGCAATTGGACCTTAAGCAATTTGCCGCCGCAAAACCCTATTAGACGTTTCTGACCGTTGTAACAGTTAAATTAGTAACTTGGTAAATACAATGTTTTATGTTGGAATAAAGGAAATAATTACATCAATAATTAACGGGGAAATCTACGCTTTCATACAATCTTGGGCTAAGGTCGCAAAACGATGTAAATAGTGTTAATTATTACATCATATTTAAATGAAACCTAATTTTACTGATTTGGCAAATTTGAAATAAAAGATATAATAGATTTTTAAAAAAGACTATGCAACTTATTTTACTTATCATCTATTAAATTTTATCATAAATTTTATCAACTAATGATTAGACCTAACCGGCGTTCTGGCCCAGTTTGCACAGTACCGACTTAAGGCCTGAGTCTTCCAGATTTATCCCCGATTTCTGGAAAAAATCACGGTGAGTACCTACCTAGCGCCTAATGCAACAAACAAACTAATTGTTTGTTGCATAGAAAATAAGTATAAAAACAACAATGCCGCTTCTGAATTAAGAAGTGTGTACAAAGTTCTGCTTACGAACAGGAACTATTTACTTTACTGTCCTTGTCATTATTTCTCTGTTCTACCTAGGGTTAGCTGGTAGAGAATGCAATATAGCATTAAGCTCGCCTTTGTACAATTTTTAGTGCACTAAAGATTAAATAAATAAATAAATAAAGTATGTGCTATTAAGACACTACAGTAACACTGGCAAAGCTTTTTTTAATTTATGTGAAAGGTTGCAAAACGGTTCACCTGATGTTAAGTGAGTACCGCCGCCCATGGAGATGCTACACCCAAGGGTTTGCAGATGCGTTGACAATCTTTTTGGAAATTGGGCTCGGGCATTCTCACTCGCCAGACGAAACGCGAAAGTATTATACTTCCAATTTACGCCGGTCTTCTGTGAGATCGTGTTACTCACACAGACGAGCCTGCGCAATCGTACAACAGCCGAGGCTCCTGCGTGGCCCTACCATCGTTGAACACCTACTTGGGGTCGGGCAAAGTTTTCTTCTTATTCAGTAATGTTTCATCTCTCTTCTGAAACTTTTTTTCACTCTTCTTTCTTCTGGCTTCTTTCTTCAAATCTTATTCATTCCTGTACTGCTTGGGCAGAGACTTGTGACTGTTGCCGTCAGGTACCATCGCCGATTGTGCAAAATCGGACCGGGGTAATAAAGTGATTGTGCAGCCCGAGTTACAGGAAGGGACTTATACGGTAAACATGGGCTTTCCATCTTAGCTGAGGTGTACGGTGCACAAGCTAAGCGGAATCGCACAAACACACACACACTTTTTTTCTTTATTATCATAATATTCATATTGTAATACCATTTATGTATTACGCCATTAATAAAGTCAGTCCCAGCTACCTCATTCAAAGAAGTATAACACTTCTTCACCCGGGTCTTGTTGCCGTGGTACTTACCTGGACGGACCTGCCCATTCGTTCTATAGAGAAGACTGTTACGTGACTACAATGATTGGGCTACTACACGGGGTATGGCAGCAATTTCTTCTGCTCTGTCATCTAACGAGGTAATAAGATGACGAAGCATTTTAACCTATTAGGGTAAATTCACATGGTAGCTTGTGATTATTTCATAACCTTTTATTTTTTACCTTTTAGTGCCAGCCAATCACATTTATAACTCAATCGAAATAAGCTTGTCCTGCGCTGTCCGAATAAAAAATTTCACTCAAATGTGTTTTTACAGACACTTCAGAAAAATCCCGCAATTGTGTTTATTAATACCTAATGCCGTTTGACCGACTAACGTATCATATATTCATCGCGTAAACTTTGTAAATCAAACAACAGCTTCTAAAAATATCAAAAAATGCTACGGTACTAAGTAAATTAAATTAACATCATGGTATTTATGTATACGCATAATTGTATTTGTTTTAAATACATGCTGGAGGCTTAAGGATAACTTATCTTTTGTATAGGTGTCAAAAATTAACGTCAAGCTATTTATGAACAGATGTGAAAGATACAGTAGATATTTCGTTTGATATACGTTCCAGCAATTAGTTACCTACCTTACAAAAATCAATAAAAACAGCCGAGGACTACTTTGATAATACCTCTATAAATTAACAAAGATAAGGAGGGACGAACTATACCGACATATATTTTCCATCAAACTTTGAAATTGCGACTCACTAGAAATGTATTCAGGAAACTCGATAAAAAGTTATCTCGGTGTGTACTGGTACGTTTTTGTGCCATTGTTTTCAACAAGCTTTCACAAACATTAGTCATTAATTTTATTTGAAAACATTTACACCGTCATTTTCATATGTATCAGCAATAAGTTTTGTAAATGTCCAATACATATGATGTGGTTGTACTTTAAATAAACAATATTCGCCTATAGTCACTGCGTTAACTGTGGCATAGGGCTTGGTTGTGGTTTCAAAAATGATTATGAACTCAAAAATAATGGGTGAGGATATGAATTGAAAGAAAAATGAAGTGAAAGTAAAGATCTTTAAAACAAGTAGTCTGTGGTCAGGTCTCACAGAGCAGGACTTTAGTGGACTTAAAAAATTGTATTTTGAATGACAATTCCATTCACAAATCTGGGCTACTAGGATACTTATCTTAATTTTCGATAAAGGTAAATCCGCCTTCTAGGGAATAGACAACTGCGCATTATTATGAATGGTATTAAAAGTTTGGATTAAATATTGAAGCAGTTTATCTTCCCCTCTGTGTATCCAGTAGTCCTAAATACACTTATAAATGCGATGAAATAGAATAGGAGATTTAACGCTAAACAATGAGGTAAACCGTAAAAAAAGACTGCTGTCTCTCATCTCAGTCAATGAACATTAATATCAAAATATTACCTCTTCACATTTCGAAATTTAAGTAATTAGGTAACTTTTAGTAGCTTTTCAAAGTCCTTAAATAATACACTGAATGAATTGTTATGATGAGCACCTAAAAGCGACACATGATGTTACCATGGCACCCCTTAAAAATTTATGACATAATAATTATATCTAAAACTTGTTACGATAATTCAGTTATTTAACCATTACCAATTCAAAGTCAAAGTCAAATATCTTTATTCAATATAGAAGCATTACGCTTTCGACCCCTTAAAATTAAAATAAATAGTAGAGTAAATGATGACATGGTCCGGGAACGTCATGAAAACGGATGAAAGACATGATTTGATTAATGAAATTGAGTGACCGAAAAAGCTATGTATAAAGAACGGTATATCATTTAAGAAAGTGGAACTAAAGGACCTGTCGTGCTGACCACAACTAGTGTGGAACGGTGATATTAAATAGAAGAAGCAGGGTAAATGATTTGGCTCAAGTACATGACAGCGTATTACAATACATCCGTACGTAACTCCAAAACTAACTGAATTACACACTTCAATTACTAAATGAATTTATTTTACATTGCTATTAGAACAATATTCACAAATTTCAAAATGTTTTACGAATGATACAAAAAAAATATATCAATAAAATTTTGCTATGTAATTAATGATAGCATTTCACGAGTATTACATGTCCATAGTTTTAAGTAGTTCAAATTTCTTTGTTAGAATTTAATGTTATCAGGTTAAACAAAGTCTCTAAAGCTCTATCGTTCTCACCAACCTTATCAACATATACAGTATTATAAAATTCGTTAGTGATCTCAAGGCAAAACTTATTAACGAAAACCTTTAAGGGTTTCACGTTCAAAGCTATCACTTCAAAGGGGCCTGTACAAAAAGCTCCTCAACTGTGAGCTTTGATATTAAACAAACACCACCATTAAAATTTAGCCTTTAAAGCAGCCGGATAAAACTTGCTATTCAGAGTTATTACAGCGTTTATAAAGTATTTCTGATTAATGTTTTTATTTTTCATTATTCTTAAAAATTAGTTAATATTGAAAGAGAATACTCCAACATTGAAACATATAGCTTGTCATTTCCCAGCCGTTAATTTATCGATTCCATCGTGGCGAGACTGGACTGTTCTGCTGGCCCTGCATCGCCCGGGGGCGCTGGTCGGGCGTGCAGCTGTTGCAACGCGTCCCTAGTTATAATCTCTAACGCAGGGATAGGAGAGGGGCGGAGCCGCCACGCGTGCAGCCGGCGACCCTCCACAGGCGACGCCTTCGCACACCGTGCTGGGCGAGATGCTCAGTTGACAAACCGAACGCAGCGAAGTTAATACCGTTACACCGCCAATAGGCCAAGTAGTCGCGCCCCACTGCCCACTTTGTGCGATTAGGTCATTCTGTTCCGTTGAAGCTTCAGTAACGATCTGTCTCCGTTTCCTACTATCCTGGTAGCTTAGACTTCTATCTATCCTTGAACACTTTCGCAATCTTAACAATTCTTGGAGATCGGAAAACTTATCCCCGAGGTCTAGTAATTTGTTAGTCACTTTCTGTTTGTTTGCAACCAGTTTGGAGATTCTTTTTTTTTTTTCCGAGAGCGGACTAATTTTCAAGCTGGTTTTTATGTGTGAAAAGGTATAAACCTCTTCTGGTATATCTATTTTGAGAACAAGCTACGTGGTGAAAACATTTTAATGATAATGTAATTAAAAACGATATTACCTTAATTTGCCTATAGACTTTTGAGAAATGATGGTGGCCTATGATAATTATTAAAATAAACAGAAACGTAAAAGTTTAATTAACTTGTTCTCAAGTAGATTAATCGATTTTTAGAATAGTTGATTTCTTTGTACCTTTAGATAAATCCCAAGTGAAATTTCAAACCCCTTCTGTACCTTTGTTGTTGCAGGCATGTCGTTCCTATTCTTGATTATAAACCTGGATGAACCTTTATTTATAATTTCTTCATGTATGTGATTTTAGTGTTTTGATTTTTAGTTCAAACTTGATATTGTCCCTTCCATTATTTTTATTTGCAGATTTATTAAGTTGTTCTGTTAACAATACTCAAAAAAAAATCGCTTTTTCGTTCTATTCTATGTTCACGTTAATTTGACTTTTAGTGACGGAATTATTTTTATTTTTTGTGTACCTTTGTGGTCAATACACAAGTAAGTTAGATAGAATCGGTTGCTTTATTAATCATGTTATTCATGCACGAGCAGTTTTACTATTATAACATATGTCTCGTACATTTCAATCTTGCTCCGTTCAAATTGTGGCTAAATTGATAGGCAACCGATTATGAGTGTCGTTCCTGTTGTACCCTTTCCTTCCGTGTTCCCCGACCGTGACAATGACGGCGTGTTTCATTTTAGACCGGCCGTGGCGCGCCAGCAGTCGGCGCCGACCCTCGTGTTTAGGTGTGTCGATGTTACCAAGTATTGTAGACCTTATTGCCACTTGGAGTACAGCGTATTTCTGACCACAGTAATGAAACAACTAGAAACTGAACAAATTACAACAATTCGGAAACAGTAGCTGCTTTCAAATTTATTTCAATTAAGAGACACATTTTTCAATAACATTCACAAACGTGAAATGACCTTGAAATGTCTTGGCCTCCTGTACGGTTCATTTATTTATAATTGCCATTAACTATTAGTTACAGTTTTTAGCAATATTACCTTTAAGTGCTCTTTTCCACGCAAACTACTACTAACTAAAATTTAAATTAATTTCACCATTTTTCAATTTTCAAGACTTATAAATAATTGACTGATTTTAAACACCTATAGTCAAATTCTTTTTAAATTTTACATATTCAATGATTGACATCACCGCAGATTCTAGTTGTTCGGGGTATAAAGTTAAAAAAAATATTTCTAAGATCACGCGTGACTGCCTACGTTTGTTATTCTGCTCTACGGCTACGGCGTAGCAACTCTTCATTCAAGTGGCAATAAAAATTAACGAGCCCCGCTTATTTTGTCCTGTGTTGTGGAAGTAGACGTTGCTTTCCATTGTACGCTTTTAATGACTATTAAATTAATGTTACGAATATTTTTCTTGTGTTGGTATAATAATTTAAGTTATTAAGGCACAAGCTCATCCAATATTTCGTATTGAAAGTCTCTCTATAAGAATTGTTGAAAGGACTTTGTGTCATTAAAGTTTAACAGTTATTTTGAATTTTTATAGTTAAACGTAAATATGAACATTTATTTTGTTCTCGTAATGAAATGATTACTTCGTATAAAATAATTTATTATTTTCCAAATCTATTACAAGATAATACAGAAATTTCAAAAAAGCTTGCTACAACGAAGACCATACATAAGAGCTTGTCAATTCATTTTCAAATATCCTTTACATTTAATGTCCAAAAATAAACACTGAAAAATTATGTAACTCTGAATAAGAGTTTCCTTAGCAGTGCTAAACTGATATCGTAATCAAATGGAAAGCAACTTGAATGACATATAGAGCACGTTGCATGCACTCACTGTGCTTTAAACTTCAACTCGAATAAAGGACTAATAATTCAGAGTTGAATCTTTTATCCTCAGCATCCCTTCTGCTCGAAGTTCCTGATAAGGTTCCGTGACTCTAAACAGCATGCTCACGATGTCTCTTAACGTCTATATTTCTCTTTAAACGCTTAATCCAGCCATCTGAACATCTTAATACGGCGCTGAACAGTTTCATTGTGAATTTTATCATCTAACGTGTGATTGTTTTCTTTTCTTAAACATTGTATAAATTAATTATTTAGTTATATTGAGACATTCATGATAAATATTGTCATGTAAAGTCTCAGCTAAACACAAGACTCGTGTTCCTTTTTAAAGAAAAGAATAATTTTTTTAAAGAATCATTAGTTGAGATTTTGCTTCAAAAGAGGTCTACATATAGTAGTAATAAAATATAAAATAGATAATTATTTTTATCGTAACTACACCACTAGTTAAAACTCTGCTAAATTGAGGTTAGAATTGGTACCTTTAAAAATATTTACTTATCTGTAAGAATGTAAATTAATTAGCGTAAAGGTAAAGTATTTAAAAAATAGATTTAGCATAGCTAGTATTTCTTTACTTAAATAGAAGAACATTGATTGTACAAATATGTTCTTAAACTAGCCGATTAGATATTAATGTAGATGAAAATTAATTTTGTCTAAATTTACCGGAGCAGTTGTTTTACGTAAGTTTTTTCAATGAATTTAAATGTTCGCTGTTTATACTGATATGTTAATAAAATAAAGTTAAAAGTCCTACCAAGATTAAATTTTATTTGATGTATGTAATAATTGAAATATTCCATCACCATCTGATTATTCTCTAACGACTTTCGTATCCGAACAAATTTTGTTGTAATTTATTTCGAAACTCAATAAAACTGATTTACAAAGTTTCAAATTTGTTAAAGTTTACTTACTGATCCAACTTTGGAAAATACAAACTAAAGGTATTTAAGGCACCTATAGCTTCGCAGCTTTAAATGGTTGGATGCGGTCGGGGCTGGGTCGCGTGATGCAGCACTGGTTCCCAAACTGCCAAGTCGTGACATAGTCGGAACAATCAAAGCTTACACGGAACGGTCGAACTGCTTACGTCATCGGGCTTGCTTGCGATTGTTGTAAATGCCCCTCTAACGTCCGTACCGTATACACGCAGGCGACTGGCGGACGAAGATGACGAACTGTCGGAAGTTCAACCGGACGCCGTGCCGCCGGAGGTCAGGGAGTGGCTGGCGTCGACCTTCACGAGACAGCTGGCGACCTCGAAGAGGAAGTCGGACGAGAAGCCCAAATTCAAGTCGGTGGCGCACGCCATCAGGGCGGGCATATTCGTGGACAGAATCTACAGGCGGGTGACAAGCACCGCGCTGATGCAGTTCCCACAGGACGTCGTCAGAGTTCTAAAGGTAACTTTTTCTGTGGCATCGGCACAGCGTTGTGGAATATTTACCGGTCACAACACGAGGGAAATCAATCCATGGCCCCGGGGCAGGAAGCCGTTAGCAACTGCGAGTCATCAGTTCTAATGGTAAATGAAAGATTAATTTAATGATGACCTCTTGTACCTCTTAAATTATAATTGTTGGGTTAGGTGCAGAGACTAACACTCAAAATAAAAATTAATCCTAAAGTCGTTTATAGACATCGTGCATAATAAATGAGCCGGTTATAATGGAAAAGTGCTGGATAACAGAGATTGTAAAGGTTAAGCTGAGAGTAATGAAGCCAACTAAATACCATGCCAAAACTTTAACATTTTATTTTTAAAATTCAGTCGGACAATATAAATAACGGTCGGACAATGTTATAATTAAACATATGTTAAGCTACTTTCGTTCTCACTGTAGTTAAATAATTACAAATAGAATAATGGTATACCTAAAACTCAATAATATAACCCCATATATGTGTGTACTCAACAAGTTATGGTATTGATAGAAACAGTTCATAAATTATTCGTAGTCGTGTTATATTAATGTATACATGTTTTATATGTATACATTTATTTAGAGATTTTTCAATACATCTGTCTTCAACAGAGGCACATTGTAGAGGCACATTTTACTCACGCTACAATTGATTGCCCAATTTTCAATAATTATTTCCCCGAACGCAAGGAATCCATTGTAGAATTCACGTCCGAATTGTAAAGTTCCCAATGGTTATTTGGCCTCTTCCCGGAATCTACAATTACGTAAACTGTACACGATCTGGTTGAGAGCACTCCAATTAGTGTTGAATAAATACATAGAAGTGAGCAGAGTGACTATGATTAACATTCTATTTATTTGTTTAGGGCAAGGGACATCGTTCTTTCCATTTATACGTGACGCACTAAATCCTCCGCTTATTGGGAATCTTTATTAGATTTCAATCCATAGAAACGTCTTATCGAACCATTTTTTTTTTCAAAAACTTCGACGCTGACATTTACAATTTACCTTATAATTACTCACCAATTACAGTGATAGCACATAAATAATCGAAATTAATAAATTTAATAATATCGTAGTAATTTGGTTTCTTGCCATTGGTTAAATTCGTAGCACTTTCTACTCATTATACTCAGTATCTCAGTTAAAAATCAAATCGTTTTTCTCCTAAGCTCCGAACTGGAGACTAAATCCTTTTCTACTTTCGCGCCATCGCAAAGTTTCAAAATGAAGAAAACTTGAACAATCGCTTCGAAGCCCTTAATTATTCATAGGACGCCTTAGGTTATCACGTCGGCACTTCAATTTGGTTAAACACCGTAGAAAGTAACTAACTCAACCGACGTACATTAATCTTGTTCACAGATAAAGGCCAATTTGCATTTGGGACGTCCTCGGCCATAAAGCTTAGCTTAAGGACCCCCAGTTCGTGCTTACTACGATAGTTCCAGCATTTTATACGTGCGTTGGTAAATCTACTGTGAAACGTTAGGTTTGCTTAGGTCGCTCGCTTATATCAACCTTTCTTCTGAAGTATAAGCTCCGACGTAGGTAAGCATTCTGAAGGGAGTTATTATTATTTTAGTTTCAAATAATTATTTAATTCTGCTTATAATGTAACTGAGTCGTGATAGCTCAGAGAGTCGTGATAGCTCAGTGCCCGTGCGCTCGCCTTTAATTCAATATACTCGAGCAACCTGACTTCGATCCCCGGTGCCGGCACCAATGAAGTTTTTACCTTTAAGTGCTGACTTATCACGTGCTCCGCGGTGAAGGAAAACATCGTGAGGAAACCTGCATATTTTCGGAATAATAACAAAAAAAATATATTTCGAAAATATGTGAAGTCCGCCAATCCGCAGTGGGGCCGCGTGGTGGACTATGCCCTGATACCCTCTGTATAGAGGCGGCCTTTGCCCAGCAGTGGGACATGTATAGGCTGTTACTTTACTTTACTTATAATGTAACAAACATTGTCCCTATTGTACAATAAGAACCGTCTATGACGGTAGTAGAAAAGAGTCTTGTACGATAAAAGCCGTGATGGCGTTCGGCACTCGCTCGTAATTATCAAACTCTCGAGGAACCGAAGTTCAAGTCTCGCTGCCGTCACCAATGTAATTGTTAAATTTTTACTTTATTTGCTGATCTATCACATGCTAATCAGTGAAGGAAAACATTGTGAGGAAACCTGCAAATTTTCGGAACAGCAATATAAACAGTATTTCGAAGATGAGCAAGTCAGTGAATACCAGTCCACGTTGATTTTCCGCGCCTTCTCCCAGCTATGGGAAATATGTATAGGCTGTTACTTTCCTTAACGATACGGCAAATGCAAATATTGATATCAACCGATCGTCAGATCAGTCGAGTAATTTTTAACGTAGCAAACCTCAGAAAGGATTAGAGTAAAAAACACCACGTACAAAAACAGAAATATTAAAGCTTTAGTCAATGGTGTCCGATAGAAGAAATAGTTTTTATTGTACAGATAATTAAATGTCAAGCTTTGTGTTTTCTTATGTAACACTTAGAATAGTCAAGAGTATGTAAAAAAAACGTATGTCTATCACTATACCTACAATACACATACCTACGAGATACAGATACAAATATGGTACTTGCTTTTAAGAGTTTGGAAGCATAACACCTAAACAAATTATGGCCTCGCGCAATTCATATAATAACATAAGTACCTGGAGGACCGAGCTTTGCTCGTTTTTTTTTTTTTTTTTTTTGTAAATCGTATATTTTGGAAATTACATTTAGATACAAATTACTGAGTAATGAAATATGCATAATATTTTTCAATCTTACCGACCTAATAATAAGAAAATATGAAGTGGTGTTTTTCACGAAAGGAACAACTTTAAAAACAAGGGAAAAAAATAACAAAATCATCTGGATCAACAAAAAATAAAAAATAAAGAAAGCAATGATCTGGAATTGGAAAAAAAGTAAAAAAAGAGTGTAAATGATCGTGACACGAACCACGGCCGTCTGTTTCGGGGCCGCCCGATTACCGACCGAGCTATTATAACATTTTTTTTGCGTTGAAATTTACCGTCATATTCGAATGATATTTTTCATTCCCTGAAAACAGGGATACAAGGACATTTTCTAAAAATGAAACCTAGCTAGATCGATTTTTCGCCCCCGAATATACGCACATACTAAATTTCATGAAAATCGCTGGAGCCGTTTCCGAGTTATATATATACAGCGTGTCATTACCATCGCGACAATAAATGAACACACGTCTAACGCTACTTGCCAATAATCATAAGAAAATATTAACGTTAAACAAAATCCATAATTAAAAAAACATATTTTTCAAACAAACTAATTAAGTAAAAAAGAAACAAAATTTGTAACATCCTATACAACTCGCGCCACAGCGTCGCATTACAAGCCTCTCTTTCTAACAGTATGTTTTGTCTCTTTTAAATTCATTCACCCATTAATATGCTTTGTGACCTTGTGACAAATGAACTTTACGTTACAATTTTATACGTAAGGGTGTTCTAAAATTGTTTGTTTTGGAAAATTTAATAACTCGCAAAATATTGATGTTTGAAGAATGTAAATGTTTAATACAATTTTAAAAAGTTATCCTCTATATGTGTGTTCATTTATTGTCGCGGTGGTAACGACACGCTGTATATACAAGAATTGCTCGTTTAAAGGATAAGATATATAGCACGATTTTATCCAAACAGAACCCTTAAATTAAGTGTTGGACACGGGGCCTATTGCAAATTATCGGTCACACTTCTGTAACAGTTTATTCGGAGCCAATTAAACTCTGAAAGAGAACGTGGTAACTTATTCACCTTTACGCAACCAAAATCTCGTGGAAGATTACTTTATACATTTGCTTTTGTTTGAAGCATCCAGTTTCGGTGCAAATCTAAATATAATTTAAAATAACATCTAACGGTTATATTTATGAAATTTGTAAACTGATAATGTCACTTCAGATTGTAGAAATTGTGCTTTTAATTTTAATTATTATTACTGATTTTATTTAATCAACCGACTTCAAGAAGGAGGAGGTTCTCAATTCGCCTGTATTTTTTTTTAATGTTAGTTACCTCAGAACTTTCGAATGAGTGAACCGAGTTTGATGATTCTTTTTTTATTTGAAAGCTGGGGCTTCCCATGTGGCCCATATTAATTTCATTTGTATTAGGATGTTGGGTTCTTGGGCTCTCGGAGACACTTAGAAAACTCTTGAAAATAAATTACAAAATTAATACAGAGCGAGTTATTTGAAGTCTGTTTTGTTTATCGTTAATAAGAAAAATGGACTTGTTACACAACGTGATCACACTGACCGTTTATGAATTATCGATAGTGGTTAAAGCGTCCAAGTGCGATTCCGGACATGGATTCGATTCCGCGGAGGTGGAAAATTTTATCGTTCGTTTTTTCTACCCGTTTTATTTTAAGAGCAGAGATTCGCACTATAAATATTTAAATTTTAATAGAAAAGTTGACATCTCTCGTTCAAATTGTTGTGGTAAAACGTTAACAGAAGTTGTTCGTGTGCTGTAAAGGCCATAACAATAAATGCGCCAATGTTCTTTCTATTCTTGAAGTCTTCAAACAAAACGAATTGAGTAATCTTGCACGAAATTTGTGCTTTCGGAACGGAATATTTACCATGTTCTGTTTCAGAGCGGTAATTGACTTCTAATAAACTGTTACAGATGTGTGTTCGCTAATTAGCAATTGGCCCAGTGTCAAACATATCAAGGGTTTTAGTAAGCCGTACACTTAATATAAGGGTTCTGTTTGGGTAAAATCGTAACTGTTACTAAGACAGGACTATTTAGTGTATATACAATTGGCTTATGTTATTATATATATTGCCGAGGCCATACCGACTTTGTTGGAAGTGTTATATTTCTAAACGCTGAAAAGCATGTTTGTACCTGTATATGGGTATTGCATGTACCATGATACATCGGCGCTTTCTTCACAATTTCTATCTATCTTCTATTAAATAATCTATTTTAGGAAATAAGAAATTTGAATTTGAATTTGTGTGTATTATATTACACATATATCACTTTACATCTATCTATATAAAAGGGAATGTATGAGTGTATGTATATTCAACTAAAACTCGAGAACCGCTAGTCCAATTGATATGACACTTAGGACACTTATAAAAGGCGACATGACCACTCAGACTAAAATAGTTACATAAGTCCCGGATAGGATAACGATGGTAGGACCACGCAACAGTGTTGCACGAATGGGCAGGTCCGTCCGGGTTAGTACCACGACCTCACAGAAGACCGGCGTAAAGTAGAAGTGTTGCACTTCTGCGTTTCGTCTGGTGAGTGAGGTGGCCGGGGCCAACATTATTAAGAGGTGGCAACGCGTCTGCAACCCTACAGGTTTTGCAAATGTCCATGGGCAAGCGTTTATCACTTAACATCAGGTGAACCGCCAACTCCATCACATAAAAAAAAAATAGGTGGCACTTGTGCACGTGATATTTATCTTTTGAGCCACAGCGCAAAGTTCGAAATGATATCAAATTGTGTATATATGCATGTGGCAACATTGGAACACCAACTAATATGGTCACTCTGGTAACTGATTGACGTTAGTGACGTTTAGTTAATTAACTAAATTTTGAATCATAGTTCCTATTTATTTGAAGTTCACTATGTAGGTTACCTATAGCAAAAATAAATTGTGTAGAATAAGAAAAATCCTAAACAATATTTTTTTATTTACGTACTATTGGTAGATTTTTCTAGGTAAGGCAAAGCGTACCGAGCACCAGCTAGTATCTTTTTAAATAAATCCAATGACAAAAGGAACCATAGTCATAGAAGTAACACTATCTTGAAAAGTATTAGGATCACTAACGTGTTGTTGCGTTTAGTTTATTAATATTGAAAACCAGCAGTCGCATTTAACTACATTTTAATCTTAAGATCATCAGAGACACATCGATTCAAGTTAAAAATTAATTTTCTAAAAAATTTCCACTCCAAGTCTTTTGTCAGCTCTCCACAATGAACAGCAAGACTGTTTTAAATAATTTTCTTTTAGCTTGTTTGTCAAGTAAAGTGAGATTACATTTAACCGTTTTTAGAATGAAAATTTTCCGGAAATTTCGCCAGGAATTTGTGTAGACACAGTCCTAAGCACTCCAACCCGAAACAAATATTGAATTAGGCTTAGATGTAAGCAACAAAACGGTTTGCAACTATATTTATCATTTTGAAATTTTATTATGACATTCTATTTATAGCATTATATGCATATAGTTGTGTTTCTGTATGCATCCTTTTCACAAATCCTAGCGCTAATATAATGATTGCAAAAAAAAACAAACAAAGAATACATTTATAATAGAAAAAATTGTCTGCACTACAGGGTCAACACTAGATTTATTATATTAAAGGAAATAGCAGCGTAAATCGTATCTGGAACCAATGAGGATGTAGGTATAATAATATGAATCTGATAGAGCTGATAAAGGTATAGACAGTAGAGTTGCATTCCGCAATCTGTCTACATCAAGTAAATTAACTGCATTTATATTACATAGAAATACAAAATAGAAAAGTAACTAGTGTACATATTTCAAAACAGGCAATAATTGTAAGTAGGACATTGATAGTTTCGAGTGACATTGGCTTGAATCAGTATTTTCAACTCTTTAGGTTTCTGGGTGTGAATTTTCTGTGATACGTACAGCGTATGGCAAAAGACTTTGAAAAGTGGTTAGCACTGGCCATGTGTGTCGTTTTTGCTTCGTATTTATATTCTTTTTTGTAACTTTAACTTGTAAGAAATATTTAATACGTAACTCTAGCACTACGAATTAAAAATTTAATTTCAATGTCAAATGCGACATCTGTTGTTTTAAATTCCAAATTCCAATTTAGTTCCAAAGGGGCCGCGAAATAGCTACATTTCAAAATTCAAATCCTAGAGTCTAAGCTATGTTTTGCTTTCATCCATCGGTATAAATTAGAATAAATACTGACTGATAGAGTATCCACTCTATCATACATGTATAAAGAAAAAACAGATTTTATGTGAAAAGTTGTCAAGCGAGCAGACGGTACCTGATGAAATGATAACCGCCGCATGGAAATTACCAGACGAGTAGGAGATGCGTTATTAATCTTTAAAATAAGTGAGCCCCGGCTACCTCACACACCAGACGCGAAAGTATCATACTTCCACTTAACGATGGTCTTGTATTAGGCCGCGGTACTTTCCCAGACGAGCTTGCCCTTTTGTGCAACAGCCGAAGCTAATGCGTAGCCCTATCATATCTGATGTAATATCAAACACATCTAATATAATATCAAATGAATCAATTTACAGTTTTTCCGACCTTATATCTTTTTTTGTCTTTTAGACACTTGACGAGTGGTCCTTCGACGTGTTTGCTTTACACGAGGCGGCAGCTGGAGCGCCAGTGAAATATCTTGGATATGAACTTCTCAACAGATATGGAATGATTCACAAATTCAAGGTAAGTAAGATATTTTCTTACACTTATAGCATAATCTTTTTTGGTGACGGCAATGTCGAGAGAGATTCATTCGTAAAATAATTACAATGCCGTTATTATAAAAGGTTGAAGTATATTGACTAAAGTTAACCCTAACGCGTTGCAATAATAACTTTATTGATAAAATTGCAGCCATGAACCATAGAGTCCCTGAATCCTGAACTAGCAGTTAAATTTGAAGATTCATTCATTCTCTTGATTTGAAGGTCAACAAAAAGTATAAGTATACTCTAACACATAGCCTTGACAATAAAGCACGTCGCTCAAGCCCAAATCTTGGTCAGCATCAATACCGCTTTTTTATGTGAGAAAGTGGCAAACATAATACAAATATAAATAAAGTGGGCCCCGGCTAACTACTCACCAGACGAAACGCAGAAGTGTAAAACTTCTACTTTACGCCGGTCTTCTGTGAGGTCGTGGTACTTACCCGGACGGACCTGCCCATTCGTGCAGCAGTGGACACTGTTGCGTGGTCCTACCGCTTAATATAAAGCCAGTGTCACCGAACTGAGATTCATTTAAAAACATGGAGTATGCATGAAAAATTCTCGCTACATACACGTACACCTCGTAATAACTCAAAGCCCGTCAGCGGTACTAGGATAACACGTGAGACGTGACATTAATGCCTGATAATCGTACGGCACGTGACATGTTTGGCGGCTTACATATAAATGTCTGTAATGGATTTTTTGCTTCATCTCAGTCGAATAAACATTCTATCCGAACTTTTTCTACCTTAAATGATTTAACCAGTTAACTAATATAAACTTTAAGTATAAACGTTTTTTTATATTTCGAATATACTTTATACCGCTGAAGAGCCTGAAGTACCGCCCACATTTCGACAGTCACGAGATAGTCATCATGGCAGAGTCGCTGGAGGACCTGGGTGCTATGCTCAATGACCTCAACAGTGTCTCCCAACGGGTGGGCCTTAAGATGAACATGGACAAGACGAAGATCATGTCTAATGTCCATGTCACGCCTATACCGGTTGTTGTTGGGAGCACTGAGCTCGAAGTTGTTAACGAGTACGTTTACCTAGGACAGTTAGTCCGGCTAGGTAAGTCCAACTTCGACGCAGAGGTCAATCGGCGAATCCAACTCGGATGGGCAGCGTTCGGGAAACTTCGGCAAATCTTCTCGTCGAATATACCTCAATGTTTGAAGACTAAAGTCTTCAATCAATGTGTGTTGCCAGTGATGACCTACGGAACCGAGACATGGTCCTTCACTGCTGGCCGTATGAGGAAGCTCAAAGTCGCTCAGCGAGCTATGGAGCGGGCTATGCTCGGTATTTCTCTGCGTGATAGAGTTCGTAACGAAGACATCCGCAGTAGAACTAAGATAACCGATATAGCTCAGAGGATTAGCAAGCTGAAGTGGCGATGGGCCGGCCATATAGCTCGTAGAACCGATAACCGTTGGGGAAGAAAGGTTCTCGAGTGGCAGCCTCGTACTGGCCATCGCAGTGTAGGACGACCCCCCACTAGATGGAGTGACGACCTGTGCAAATGTGCGGGAAGTCGATGGATACAGGTGGCTCAGGATCGTACTTCATGGCAGTCTGTGGGGGAGGCCTATGTTCAGCAGTGGACTCAAACAGGCTGAAATGATGATGATGATGATGATGATACTTTGTATTATTGTACTTCAAAATGTAACGACTTTACTGTTGATAGCATCAATAAAGTTTTGACATTGCTATTGTCGACAAACTTCATTTACGTGATAAAAAGTTTTGAAATGTATTTTTTTTTTCAGTATATAAAAAAAGTGTACTGAAAAAAATACCATGTATATCTTTAGATGCACAATATGAAACTCGATCGGAATCAACAAATTTGATATTTCTAAGTCATGAAAGCGAAATTACAATTAATGATGTAATAATGTTATAAAGAAATATTTTTTGGAGTAAAAACCTCTTTAGGCGCGTTGAGCACTTTTTGGGTGAACAAAAAGCCAAAGAGAATGTAATCACTACGTTTACAAAAAACATGGAACTCGCGTCATCGTAACTGAATAGTGACGATCATAGATTATACACTTACTTACTGGTGACGATGACGCAAGTCCTATGATTTTTGGTAATGTTGTGTTTGTTTTCATGTTCCCATGAATTATTTTTAAAAAAAGAATACGGAAAAAAATATTTGTAATTATGGATATGATAAAAATACTGTTATTATCGTTGGGAGAACCTATTTTATGGAGAATTAAATATTATACTATTTTAATTTTGATATTTTTTGATGTTTTCACTTCTGTCGGCAGTCCCCACGAGACGGCCTATGTTATATTTTTATTTTTCACTTTATGTCTGACTAATGGAAAATGGTAAAATTTCATAAAGAAATTGTACATTATTTATTTAATGTACATGTACAATCATGCATTATTGGGACTGACTAACCAGCTATTTTCTCCCATTTAATTGACTGACTGACATAACTGTTATTTATATGTTATATATAATCTGTATAACAATTTTCTACCACATTAAATTCATTTTTATTACCAAAGTTATAATAATAGTTTGATAAATGAGATGCCTGTTCTAAAGTTGGCCGCAGTATGTGTGTGTACAAAACTTATAGAAAATCAGTATTGTGCCCTGGCTCTTGACCCATTAATTTTAATTCAATTACAATTTGACTGTACGACCGCAATTTTTAAATATTAGAATCCAGCCATGAAGGTTTCATTGAAAGATATATTTATTTATAGCTTAAACACACATTTGACTTTTATTCTTACAAGTAAATCCAATGTTTGACCTGTATAACTATAAGAAAACACAAAAAAACGACATTATTTAATATTGAAAATTTTTGTACGCGATTACCATTACCATTTTTATACATCAGACGTTTTTATACATTTTATGGAAAACACAGCGAAAATGTAAACTGACTTTTTATCTTTTTTTTTAATAAAAAAAAAACACTCGTGACAGCTATCGACTAAAGACAGTATCTTTAGCTTAAAAGGACTAATCAATATATGAAACAATATTTGAATTTTTATCATCTGATGAACAATAATTTGTGGAGAACTGAAAACTCTCCAAATATCAAATTGGTAAACACGTTAGACTTGGGTTACAGTCAATTGCCAAAGGACATTAATACCCAACTTAAAATACGTAGAACCACTCTCGCTACTTGAAGTTATCAAGCGAATGTCAAGGGAATGAAAAGTTTAGGCGACGATTGCTCGTTTGCATAAACCTTTTGAATTTCACTCTCTTTGAGCACTCGGAAAACTTAGAGGCACGCCGTATTCAAGTTTGGTTTTGTATATTTGAGTTAATGGAAACTTCATTAATGCATCGTAAATTCACCCTAGTGCGTGGTTGATTTATGCGAGCATTAAAACTTCATCCGTCATCGTAAGTGAAATGCGATGACATTTATAACTTTAAATAATTAGGTATATATAATTGTATATTATCCATTTTAAGGTTTCGTATCCAAAAGTTAAGTATCCAAACGTTAAGTATCCAAATAAAACGAGATCCTATTACTGAGACTCCGCTGTCTGTCTATCTGTCCATTTGTCACCAGACTGTATACTCATGAACCGTGATAATTAGTTGAAATTTTCTGAAATGATCTATTTCTGATGCCACTATAACAACAAATGTACTAAAAAATAGAATAAAAAAATATTTAAGTGGGGCTCCCATACAACAGTCATGATTTTTTGATGATTTTATAGATAATGAATGGTACGGAACCCTTCGTGTGCGAGTCCGACTCGCTTTTGGCCGGTTTTTGATTTCTTAATAAAGTACATATCGAGTTGTTCGAGTGATATGTAGATTGTCAAGAAGGCAGCTGGAAAAGTAAAATTAATTATTGTTCGTTTATGCAGTGTGAAAACACAGCTAAACAAAGCTGTGACATTTTCCTCAGATTCCTACTGCAGGTTGACCTGCATAGCTAAGATCGTTTTGTGTTAATATAAAAACCGGCCTAGTGCGAGTCGGACTCGGACGCAAAGGGTTCCGTACCATTATCTATAAAAACGGCAAAAAATCAAGTCTGTTGTATGAGAGCCCCACTTAAATGTTTTTATTCTGTTTTTTTAGTATTTGTTGTTATAGTGGCAACAGAAATACATCATCTGTGAAAATTTCAACTGTCTAACTATCACGGTTCATGAGGTACATCCTGGTGACAGACGGACGGACAGACAGACAGACAGACAGACAGACAGACAGACAAACAGACAAACATCGGAGGCTTATTAATAGGGTCCCGTTTTACCCTTTGGGTACGGAACCCCGAAAACATTATCACCCAACATATCCCGTTCGATGAAACGATTATTTCGAGCTATCCTACTGTGGCATTGTAGGTATTGCAGCAATTCGTTCCAATTCGTCCCACAGGTGCAATCCACAATCCTGGAGAATTTTCTCAGCAGGATAGAAGAGGGTTACTGCAAGTTTCACAACCCCTATCACAACAATTTGCACGCCGCTGACGTCGCGCAAACCGTTCACTACATGCTCTGTCAGACCGGACTCATGGTAAGTATAGCCAGAAGAATACTACGCGTAAATACATGAAATTATCTCTACGATCCAAATTCGAGGGTTCGGCACAAAACAAAACTTGTTTAAAGTTACATTCATGAATCAAAAAGTTAAAAAAAAAACCACATTTTTCTCTATATCGGTTCAGTAACAGCGAGCACCACGTTTAACCAACTTATTTTTAAATAAATAGTTAAGATTTAAAAATACGTTTAATTATATTAAATCATATAAATATTTTTGGAATATTGCAAAAGAAGTTCTTCTGATTCTAACTGAATGCCGTCCACATTCAAACCATTACAATATCGTAGCTTAATTAAATCCTTGAAATTTAATAAGTCATCCTGCGTAGTCAGTAATATTTTCTCATTTATAACATCGCTGAAAATTAGAGACATGGAATAAAATAAACTTGGAATAAATTCGTAAATACTGATCAGATAAGGCTTCTATTCCAACTGTAATTGCCTAAGGCTCCTTACTAGGTCCCCTACTTTTTAATATATATTTATATCAAGCACTGTTTTTTCATCAAGCACGGTTTCTCATACTAATACGATTCTTGTGTTCCTATGACAAAAACAAAACATGCTAATACTTCTGTATTTCATAGATGTATGCTCTCACATACTAACATGTTTGTATGTGAGAGCAGGGAGCAGAGAGTAAACACACACACACATATTACATACCATAAAAGATGTTATAATCTCTTAAACGGCTGAATATTTTTGTCATATTACTATTTTATGCTATGAACTTTCCGTATAAAATAAAAAATTAAAAGAAAATTAAAATACTGAGAAGTTTTCTACACGGTATAGCATGATTTTAAGAAGAAAAGACAAAATAAAAATAAACTCGCAGAATCAGTATCTCTAAAGAGTTAAAATTGATCAACAGTTCTGTTACCCGATTTAAAATTATAACTGACTAAAGATATCTCGTTAAGCGTAGATCATATAAACTTATCGAAGTACGAGTCAGATCTCTAATGTCTTATAATGATAAAGTCGATAAACTCTTAAGAGAAGGCAAAGACGTCGATAATTTCTGGCAACTTTCCCAGACCTAAAATATGGTACTGATGATTCCTTTTTATACTACAAAAAGACGATCCGAAAACATTCCATTGCCTATATTATTACACAATGCTTGGAGTTGACTCAATTTATTATTCATATCTAGTGTGATCGGCCTTTCGGAATATTTTTTATTTTATTTTATTTTATTTTTTTATTTTATTTATTACTCTCACATTGTTCATGACATACATTTATTTTTTCAATTATATAATAATGTAATTCTTGCCATTTACGTACGTGTAATCAATAAAATAACATATTTACATGGAATATCTTGCTTGAACTTTAATTTTGTTCTCCGGAGAACTTTTTTCTTGGTGTTGTTCCATCTAGAAATAGTTTTACATTAGGTAGATCGTCAACAATGGGTAACAAAAGTGTTTCTTATGATTTCCCCTTATATTTGGTTGTGTACTTATCTTCCCTATTTAACTGACTGTCCGTGACTGTACCATATTTCTTCCGTATAGAATTGGTTGTCGGACCTGGAGATATTCGCGACCCTCGTGGCAGCGGTTGTCCACGACTTCGAGCACACCGGCACCACAAACAACTTCCACGTTATGTCCGGCTCCGAAACAGCCCTTCTCTACAACGACCGCGCCGTGCTCGAGAATCATCACATCAGCGCCGCTTTCAGGTAACTTTACGTTTAGCTCAATATCTGACTTCAACTTACAACGTACAGAATTGTTTTAACAAAACCTTACACTATTCTGTCATATTACCTATGACATTACACATTTAAACGTTTATAAAGCTACAAAACTTTTCTTACACACAATGTATATTACATGATGACGATAAACATCTTTTTATTTGTGTTATGATGACGCTGTGTTTCAAAATCCTTCCACTATATAGTAATGAACTATATACTCTTTAGGTATTATTACATGTTTATAATTTTTATAAGGTTTATAATATACTGTTAGTTGTGACGCATTTTTAAAAAAAAAACGTTTGAGGTTTTCAAGAAACCAAAAATTTATGATAGTACTTTTACGAAAGAGACAAGAAACAATAAAATTGAGAGATTGAGAGTGATTCACTACTATAATACTGGCAAAAGTGCAAACGCTTTTCTTTTCTATTTCTGCAGCTCCCCATAAGATATACTGCGAAATATAAAAGTAATACGATGCGACGAACGTCAAACAGACTTCCCATGGAACTGACGCGACGCGCGATAAAATTGTTCATTACGGAGACTGGACATTTGCATATTTATATATTGCTCTCGAATCTACATTTTTCTGCGCTTCGTCGATGCAAATTACGCTTCATGCACTTTGTACTATATACTTTTGCTGTTCATTTTTCGGATGGAAAATGTCGTCACGCTTGACTTGCAAACTGGATATTACATTAAGGTCTTAGAGACGCGCCTTTTTTTTTATTTTCAATAAGAAGTCTTGTTACTTTATTATCTTGTTTGTTGTGTCCAGATTTGCCAAATGAAGTGGTATTTACAAGATTCGTTGATTTTAATCTGTACATATAAATAAAAATTAAATTTTTTGTTCTTGAATAAGGGAAAAAGATTGGTATATGCAAGCGTTGAGAAGAAAGTAGTTTTAGTAATCCGAATATACTTTTAAGGAAAGAGATTTTTATTATTTATACAGTGGTAGAGCCACGCAGCAGCCTCGGCTGTTGCACGAATGGGCAGGCTCGTCCGGGTAAGTACCACGACGTCACAGAAGGCCTGCGTAAAGTGGAAGTATAACAAATACTTTCGCGTTTCGTCTGGTGAGTGAGGTAGCCGGAGCCCAATTTCCAAAAAGGTTGTCAACGCATCTGCAAACTCTCGGGTGTATGTGTGTATGGGTATTCACTTAACATCAGGTGAACCGTCTGCTCGTTTGGCTTTTCACGTAAGAAAATAGAAGTTAGAAAAGCTGTCCAAAAATCTTAAAAACTTCGTGAAAAGCTAAACATATTTTTGTTTGGGATGTTTCCTAGAACTCAAGCCGTAATTTAAGTTTAAAACTATACAACATGCGTGATTCTTTGTGATTCGGTTCCTTGTTTCTTGATAAGGTTTCATTAAAAAAAGGAGGCTTGCAACAAAGAAAATCTAAAGATTTTCTACATTATCTTTCTCGTACAACGGACAAATAGTTGGCGTAGCCATCTATCTAAGGAATATCAGCTCACTGCTCACAGCATATCCGATGTGAAAGGCATTATACAACAAAAGGGCGAAGATCCGAATGGAAATTCAAAATTCTCGCGAACAAAAGAATGCGAACGGGAAGACTGCGAACTCGTAATAATATTATGTAATTTCCCTCGGGAGCGGATCCCGGCAATTTTTCACACGTTCTGTAAAACTCTTTCTAAGAATCAACTCAAGCGTTATTGGGATGTGCTCATTGGAAAATTTAAAAAAAAATCACCACACATAAACATGATTGTTAATATTCCCGTGTTTGCTTCATGACGGTGCAACTCAATATTTCATTGAAATGAGGAAAAAAGATAACAAGGTTATGGATTAAGATAGGATACGTTTTATGCCTTTAAATATATTTTATTTTGATGATCTGGATAGTGAGAAGTTTAAAACTTGATTTAGGTACAGTTTCGTATTATTATTTGTGAATTCACAGTACCGTTTCATTAAATATACAAATAGTAACAAACTTTTAGGAGCCATAAAAATGTTCGAAAGGACACTCTTATTCTATATGAAATGAAACGAGGGGATTTCAATTCAATTAAGCCTAGTAAACGAGACGTTTAGAAGGTAACAAAAAAAGATACTTGCTCAGAGAGGATAAATTGATTAAACGTATAATGGATGAGATTTTGTTGTAAGTGTGTGTGTATGTAATATTCTAATATAATGGATTTAATTATAAACGTAAAATTATTAATGGTCCAGGTTAACATACAAAGACTTAATTGAAAAAAAATCGTTTAACGCTTTCATGGTATATGTTGACATTCTGGGAATAAGATAAATAACGCAATACTCGAAGCTAAACTAAAGAATATAATAGTTTTCATAAATAAGAATATAATAGTTGACTCGTTCGAAATTGTCGCACAATAACAGTCGGTAAATATTAATATAATAATTTGTAAGTCTATTTCATACAAATTGTCAAAAGATGTCATTATCATACATTATACAGCGTGTCTTTACCATCGCGACAATAAATGAACACATATAGAGGATAACTTTTTTAAATTGTATTAAAGATTTACATTCTTTAAACATCAATATTTAACGAGTTATCAAATTTTCCATAACAAAGAATTTTAGAACATCCTTACGTTTAAAACTTTAATGTAAAGTTCATTGGTAAAGGTCACAAAGAATGTGAATGGGTTGAATGAATTTAAAAGAGACGAAACATACTGTTAGAAGGAGAGGCTTGTAATGCGGCGCTTTGGCAACGAATGATAAAGTCTCTGTTACAAATATAATTTCTTTTTTACTTAATTAGTTTGTTTGAAAAATATTTTTTTTAATTATGGATTTTTTAACGTTAATATTTTTTTATGATTATTGGCAACTAGCGTTAGACGTGTGTTCATTTATTGTCGTGGTGGTAAAAGACACGCTGTATATAAGAAATTTATGAACGAAAATTGTTTTTAATGACAGACTTAACTTTATTCCACGTGTGTAATTAAATAAATAAATAAATAAATAAATGTTTAGGACACATTTGTACACAACATTTTCTAGTCCCAAACTAAGCAAAGCTTGTACTATGGGTACTAGAAAACTGATAAACATACTTAAACATACTTTTCTTTTGTAAATAAATACATATTATACATATAGAAACACCCAGACACTAGAAAAAACACCATGTTCATCACACAATATTTTTCCAGTAGTGGGGATCGAACCCACACCCTCTGGCGCAGGAGGCAGGTACACTACCCACTACGCCATTCGGGTCGTCAATTCTTGTCAATAGAGCAAATAGTTATTGAAATATTGAATTTGATGATGAATTAAGGAAGTCAAGGCTTACAGACAATAAAATACCTTTGAGAAATACTATAAATAGATATTGAAAAGTACCTAATAAAAATTATAAAATCATTGCTTTGAGATTATAGGTATAATAAACAATTAATTTACTTTAGCTGTATTTTATTAGTTACATTATTCTCGGATATTAAGAACTAGATCCTTCAGATGTTAGAAAATAACCAGCATAATATCTCCTGCCGGGCGATGCAGCTTTTTTACGATACCAGACAAAATCTACAGCACAACACGTGGCTTGTCGTAAATATACACAAATCCCGTGAAACGTCCCATAAAACTACTCAAATTCACTTTTCTGCTCTACAGAATTGTACATTTCATTTTGTATTGTAAATAAAAATAAAATAAAAGATAAAAACAAAGAATCAGGGAACATATAAGACAGAGTTCAAACGCAATAGTTAAATGTTTTAGAAGGTATATCTTACAGATACGTGGGAATCCATAAACTCTGCACCATTAGGTAACAACTGTTTAACATACATTTATACACTATACACAGAAACGTATACTAAAAGCTACGCGGTGAAGTAAGACATCGCGAGGAAACCAGATAAAAATTAATAATAAATATTTCAAAGATATTTGAAGTCCGCTAATAGTTGATTGGCGAACTTCAAACATTAGTTTAATAACGGGTGAACTTTTTATATCCGTTAAAAATATAATCTAACTAAAACTGCAACTAATGCTTACATAAAATGATATTTGATATTTTTTGAATACATAAAGAATAAAGAAATATGAATCAGTCGTTAGCGAACAATTCAATAACAAATTAAAGTTTTTGGTTAATTAAACAAACAGACCGTAGAATTCTACGGTCTATTACAATACGTAAATCTATCTATACGTAAATATAGATAGATTTACGTATTGTAATTACAATACGTAAATATAGATAGATGACTTAGAAAACAGGATAACGTTTTCCACAGTAAGGGCAATGTTGTTCGAAAAATCCACCATCAAAATCGACTCGGTAATATTACTTAAAATACAAACCACAATGAAACTCTGTGGTCCTTAAATAAATTAGGTTTAACACGCGACTAGTTTAAAAAATTCTTTTAGTCTAAAAAAATAGCACGTGAAAGATCGTGGAGTTGAAAGATCCGAAATTAAGAAGATCAGAGTTGTTATACAAAAGTTTAAGCATTGCTACATATTGCATCGTTATTATTAGGGTCAACACAGACGACAAATATGATAAACCAATTGATATGACAATAATAAAAGGGAATAAAACACGAACATTGCGAAAAATACATTTCAAAATCAAAGTTGTTCTGATATCACCACGTGTTTTTAGAAGCTACTTTGCGTTAAGGTTATCGTAAAATTATGAAATTCCATTTATACAGGGAGATTTTTAAGAAGTGCCCAAATTTACACAGGAGCTTCAGACTCGGTAGTATAATCTTTTATTGAAATAAAAAAAAAATTCAAGTAAGTATTTTTTTCCAAAAAGGCCATTCTATTCCCTAAAAAACAGAACGTGTTGACAATGCGGTAGTCATTCATAAATACCTAAATTTTACTGTGCACAAACTTGTGTGCGTGTTAGTTATGAATGATCGCGCGTAAAATAAATGAGTTGAGTATAAATCACGCACTTTTTGAGATAAGTTCAAATGAATGTAATTAATTACTTACGAGTGATTTTAAATATTTATTATTTTTTTATATAACATTATTCATGTCTAGCATTTAATTAAAAAAAATGGATACGCTTAGAAAAGCCACCCCGTATAAGACTGGGGTGGATTAAATTTTGTAAAAGTTCATAATGTGATTACGATAAAAATGTTCTTCAACTTGCAGAATTATAACAAATCTCAGTTCGAAAGTTATGATTGATCGACCTATGGAGCTTCGGAAAATTCGATGTAAAGTTAATACGGTCGTCGATGAAAATCAATTCCGATAGCACTTCCGAATATAGATTAATATTTAAAATTGGATTTATAAATTGGGATATTATGGTATTCGCAAATCTGCCATTGACTTTGTTTCCTCGACCTCTTACCGACAGGGAACAAAAAGAAACTTAAATGGTATATTGTCATCGGGTTCAATAGTACAAAATGAGAGTTCACATTAATATATTAAAATATATTATGTTACTTATTTTTTTTACTATACGATAAATACTAAATATATGACAAATACATATATGACAACTCCACAAGAGAATATTTTTTTTGTTTCATACTTTTTAGAGTGGGATTTTTCAGTAGTCGTAACACTCGACTTTACTTTGAAAATTAATATTTATTATTTAAGTTAAATGTCCTCGATGCATTTTGATCAAACATTTGCCTACTTGCAGGCTCATGCGCGACGAGGAGTGCAACATTCTGCAGAACCTGTCACGCGACGAGTTCCGCGAGTTCCGGACGCTCGTGATCGACATGGTGCTGGCGACGGACATGTCGTTCCACTTCCAGCAGCTGAAGAACATGCGCTCGCTGCTCACCCTAGCGGAGCCTGCCGTCGACAAGTCCAAGGCTGTCTCCCTAGTACTTCACTGCTGCGACATATCGCATCCTGCGAAGGTATTTTCGTTTCGCTGTCCTTTTTTTTTTTTTTTTTTAAAAAGACATTGACCTTACTTTAGAATAATATTATCCTGTGTTGTGAGGACGTTTTACAAACGTAAATTTCACGCGGACAAACACTCAAATGGGAAAAAATTATCCGTAGGTCACACAATAGTTCCGTGTGGGAATCGAGCCCACGACCCCCGATGCCGAAGCCAATACCTTGGCAACTACGCTATGGGGTCATCAAATCTGTTTAAAAGCGGATCGGGATCTTCATCTCGTTCTAAAATACCACTGCTGTTCTCGAACGAGCTTGGAGAATCCAACTCAGGCACGAGTGACTTTACTCCTATGAGTCTACTTCTACAGACTGTAAGAAAGACCCTATGTCACTCTTACACAGTCTGTAGAAACTGAACTGCAAATAACTTCTGTATATGTATCTGAATAACCTTAAAACCGGAATTAGAACCAACATCCGGAAAATACAAAGATAAGTCTTGTTAAATTTATTTTTTATGGGAGAAAATGACAAATGGGCAGGTGGTTGACCTGATGGCGAGTTATAACCAACACCCGTTGGGTTATAGTTGCTTTTCCATCCTTCAATAAGGGCAGTTCTGCTCACCTAATTCAGCGATATAAGTATCTGTTGATATTTTTGCGATTCGATAAGTTTGCAGCGATCATAATAAACCAGGTAGACACTTAAGCCATTAATTAACACTTTAATTTCGGCCATTGGTTTAGAATGGAAATGGTGGAAATCCAAAAAACCTTCATCGCAATATCAAGATTACAGAAACACATAAAGTGGCAATAAAATTCATCAAAAAAGACTAAAAATCAAAAATCATTAAAAAAGACTTATTCGCTGTAACGGACAAAATAGTGGTTTTTAAGAATTTTTGAACAATTACATAGACGTAACTTCAAAACTATAGAACGTGAAAACGCGAATTTAAAAACATTTAGTGTCTATTGCTCATTTTACAAGTAACTCCTAAATTAGGTACCCTTTTTGTGGGTTCTAATCCAATTTCTTCAAATCCAATTTCTTCTGTCGATATATGGACGCATATTTATAATAACACGAGGGTTTACCCTTTGCAGAGATGGGACCTCCACCACCGTTGGACAATGAGCCTGCTCGACGAGTTCTTCCTGCAGGGTGACAAAGAGCGCGAGCTGGGCCTCCCGTTCAGCCCGCTCTGCGACAGGAACAACACTCTGGTGGCGGAGTCCCAGATCGGCTTCATCGAGTTCATCGTGGAGCCCAGCATGGCGGTCTGCGCCGACATGTTGGAGTGCATCCTGGGCCCGCTGCATTCCAACACGAAGAACTCGTCGAGCAGCGGGCAGGAGCCGATCACTGAAGAGGGTTCAGGTGAAAGCCCGTTAATCGAAACATAATTATATCGATTTACATTGATGTAAAAATACTAGTGTGCTAATGCCTTACATAATTATATTGAACGTATGTTACACGATAGAGTTATTTGTGTTCTGACTGTCATATAGCGTCTATACTAACTAGTCATGATCTCAGTTTTGAAGGACCTTACATCCATTAGAAACAATACAAGTACCTACTTTATTTTTTTACTATATAGCGCTCTATCGATTTTTATTAAAATATTTTTTTCTTAAAATCTTCGATTTTTGGAAAGTCACCTGTATAGATAAAAGGTGAAACCCAATGGAATTACAAAATTTGATCCAAATCTCTAGGACCGTTTCGAGATCCAAGAATGTCGCAATGCTGACGTATATTATGCAATCATTGCTCATTTATAAGAAATAGTTTTTATATTTCGAGTTTAATAGATAAACTGTAGCAAAATATTCCGAATTGCCAGTATTCGAACCGTCGTCTTCGGGGTAACGCGATGGGTGTGTTAGGGTGTGCTCTAGCGAACGAAGCTAACGCCCGGTTTCTGAAACACTGATCATCGTAGAAATTAACTAATTAGCTGTCAAATGACTTTTGAATTGAATGATTATTCCAATGATGGAAATGATTAGAACGATCAATGCAAGACTTTAACGATCCTTTTGGCGTGTTAAATGATATTTGAAGTCATTTGGCAGCTGATTAGTTAACTTCTACGATGATAAATGTTTCGGAAACCAGGCATTACTCACATTTAAATTTCATCTTGAGTACTAAGCTCAAATCCTGAAGCCGGCACCAATGAAATTGTTAATTTCAATAAAAGCGCTGATTTATTAGGTACATACTCATCGGTAAAGAAAAACATCGTGATAGAACCTCGCATAATTTAAAAAGATATTTCGAACAAATGTGGTCTACCAATCCGTGATGAGGTCACTATACTCCAACCCACTGGGCAGACGAAGCCTTTGCCCAGAAATGGGACTTATAAAGTCTGTTAATTATTTTTATGTGATTTAAATTTCATAATAAAAGAACTTTAAAAATGAATTTATAGTCTGATCTCTAAATTATCCTTCATTTTTATTTTAACCTTTTAGATATATATTTTTTTATAAAAAAGATATCCAGTACGTCTGTACTGTAATTAAAACCATCTCACTCATCAGGTGGGGAAGGCAGCAACAAATTCAAAATTCGGAAGCCATGGGTGGCTTGCCTGGGCGACAATAAAAAGATATGGAAAGAGCAAGCGGCAAAAGGTACAAAAATATAATTTAATGGGCGCCGCTCGAATGCTTTTTTTCAATTTACCACTGAACACAATTCCAACTGATATATAATATCTTAGACAAAGGTAGGAAATTGGGGATCGTTTGTAAATGCACAGATACAAGTGGAGACGACTGCTTATCAAACAAATACTAAGCGATAAGCTTCAGAGGTTTACAAGCTGAAGTGGCAATGGGTCTGCCATATAGCTTGAAGAACCGATACCGATGGGGAAGAAAGGTTCTCAAGTGGCAGCGTTGTATGGCCATTGTAGTGTAGGTCAACCCTTCCCTACCCTCTGCAAGTGTGCGGGAAGTCTATGGATGTAGGTGGACGTGCTTCGTGGCGGTCTGTGGGGGAAGCGTATGTTTAGCATTGGACCAAAACGGGCTGAAATTATGATGATGTTGATGAAACTACGGAGACATTCACCCGCCCCAGAACGCGTGTGATATTTAGAAAGCGAATTGTTATAAAATGTCTCTATATGATATTATTGATCTTGTGATTCTCACTTGCCCGACACACGTTTCACTTCCTTCTCCGACTTCCTGCCCGTCGTTCACAGCTATGATTTACTATTATCTCGAAAAAAAAAATATTGTGTTAAAAGTATATACCTTTTATTAAGAGTTTCCTAATTACACGTCGAAGAAGACCTTACTTCGGAATAGTAGTGTTCATTTAAAATTATTTACGTAAATATTAATTATTTATTTACATATCGAAGCTTACATTTTCTTTGGCAATTTTTCAGACGCTGAAGCCCGCGCAAAGCTTGAAGACGAGAGCAATGGTGTGCCGCCAGTAACAGAAGAATAATATTTGGCCACATTTGTAAACAGTGTTAAAACATCTTGCTACAACATGTTTCAATCACTGTTGAACAAAAACTAAGCCCTAAAAACGAGCTCGATGTATCGAGTTTACGCTTCAACGCATTTATGCGCGTTAAATTTGACTCAGTGAAAAAAAAACTGGTGCCACGTACACTGTTACAGAGAAGTTTGGTGTATAACGATAAAGTTAAATTAAAAATATAGGTAATACATACAGAATAAAGTCTTTTATGAAAATGGAAACTCATTACGATGTAAAAGCTTTACATCAACTTAAGTAGGTGTGTATTATATAGGTATATCTGATTAATTTCGTTCCAATACGCACTTATTTTAGAATGAAATAATTTCACGCATTTACCAATACCTGTACTATTCTTTGTTTTTTCAGCAGCAGAACTTTAGTTCGTGCGCTATAAACGCACAACTACAGTGATAGCGCTATATAGATAACGCCTGATTGTAAATTAGATATCATTATGGAAGACATCGTAGTGAGCGATTCGAACCGGCGAACCGTTTCTAACGATCGGTACAAACGCCCGTAGTGTTAAATACTTATTTATTATACTATTGATTGGATAATAAGATTACCTTAAGCTAATACCTCGAATCTTTATGCTTTATACGCATATAAGTTATAAGTATATAAGTTTATTGTGAGAACATGATAACAACATGAATGATGAAAAGCTTGAATATCTTGAAGAAAGAATAAGACTAGAAAAGATTTAATAAATTACATGGATTTATTAAAAATCAATCATTTTAATTTACATGTAATATTTTAATATGCATATTCATAGTTTAATATACCTATGCATATTAAAATGATTCTGAGATTACTTTTTCCCCCTTTCATTAATTTAATCGTGTTACACATTTATTATTGTATATACGGTCCTGCAAAAATTTACAAAATGCATTTGATTGCGTAGTAGTTGGTAGGTCCCTATGGGGCACAGAAGGCGATTGATTGGCAGATTTTGACTGCGCAAGTCAAAGCCATTGGTTGTGTGAGTGTGCACGCGATAGCTTTTTTCCACTATGCCGTTTTTTGCTTAGTGTTTGACGAATTGACGAATGACGATCCATATACTTTTAATCTATTAAAATGAATCACTGATGAAAGTAATGAAATATGTGCACATATATTATTCTCTACTTGTAATTATCGAGTTTATTTAAACATAAACATAAAGGTATCATCTCGCAATGGACTTTGAACTGTGTAACTTACGACGTTGTTAGGAATTAAAAAAATCTAGGTAGGTACTTATGTAGAATAAAAGTCATACCTACTCTATTTAGATTTTAAGAGCCAATTTGTATCTATACGAAATTGCTGGTGACGGAGCAAACGTAAATACTGAATAAAATAACTAATACATGCACTTACGGCAAATAAAAAAACGTAGCTGTCGTTTTTTTAAATAAACATAATCATAATATATAACATACACATATTATGTAATGTTGTAATATATCGTAATTAGATTTATTAACTAACCCATATGAAAAGTACGCTTATTAATTTTAATGTTTCCGATAAAATTGGAGAGTTCTGATATTCCTTGACCAAGTGTTGTCTTAATCTGAATGAAGTTATTTGAAAAAAAAATCCTCATATATGTTAGTTAATAATAGATTCTATCATAATATTAATCTTTAGCAAAATATATTCTAGCTTAAAGTAAAACGCTGTTTCGATCATTTACAGACTAGGTGGAGTTTAGTAGACATTTATTTGTACAATGTAATTTTTTCCTCTTTATCGCGCTCAAAGCATGAAACTCAAACGTATTTCTACATTTACTTAAACAGACTGAAAGGTGAAGGAATTTAGGTGAAGCAGGATTTTGGCCTGTTCGGAAAATCAAACTAGAGGACCCAGTATAAATATACCGTCCTTCTTGTCTATCTTTTGGCATGAAAAATTGAAGAAATGTCTATATTCTTGTGGAATAAACAATTTATGGCCAAGTGTTTACTCACAGGTGCCAAATTTTTCTTCTGAATCTGAACATTTACACTGAAATAGTCATTAACCTTTTAATCAGAGGCCTAGTTTTGCAGGTAGGTACGTGGGACCACTCTCTTTGAATATCAGAATTAAAAGGATCCATAATCAGGCTAAACTTAGGTCCCTATCTATGATTTCAGGGATGGTAAGGGTAGATTTATAATCCAACTGGTGACGCTTATAGTGAAGAATTTTACAATAGATCTTTTTATATATTTATCATCTATGTAAGCAATCGATATATCAATAAATAAAAATATCTGTATATTGTGCATTTAGAGTACTTGAAACTTACTTATTAAATAATAAGCTATTAAAATAGTAATTTATATTAATTTAGTAGTCATCATAAATACGTAGTTTATTGACGCTATTATTGTTGGGGATAGCTTTATAAATGTGTAGACCTAGTTTTAAATGTAATATACAGTTTTCATGAAATAAACAGGTAAAATAGGAAAATAACTATTAGTACTAACTGCTATGGTGCATCTAAATGTCTATTTGATTTAAAAAAAAACAGAAATCATGCGCAGTCGTGCAATTGCTTAGCTATGGGACTTCTACGCTATGGTTATGGGTTCGATTCCCAGGATGCCGGACAAGTATTCGTGTGACATACAGATAATTTTTTTGCGAATGGATATTTGTTACCAAGAAGAGTTGACAGGCAGACGTTCGTAAAAAACCTAGCCAATACCACTTACATAATTTATGTGTTGTGCAGACCCCATCTAGATCCTAATTACATTAAGTGTCAGAAACTACTTCATCTTTTAGTAATATAAAGAATAATGTACAAGTAACTTGAAATAGAATGGTCAAGAATTAGAGAAATATTAATAATTATTCTTGAAGCATTGGCAATTGTAACCACCTTAAATGTTTGGTATAAAAATGTGACCCTTTTCATGTATAAATGCAATTTAAATTAATTCATATAAATAAGGCAGAGTAGTAATGGGATATTTGTGTAACCGAAGCATTCACTCTAATAGTGTGAATAAGCTTTTAGAGACAATGTTTTAATTATTAAGCCTTATTAAAAAGCTTGCGTCAAATAACACTTAATGGATCTCAACATTCCATACAATTATATATTCTTAACATTAATATAAGGATTTAAATCAGCATTTAGCCTTACTTTTTTACGATATACATAATTTATTTTTCATTAGAAGTGAATTTGCGAGACTGTTCCACTCAAAAAATTAAGTCTACTAAACATAACATCTTAACAGCTGATTGACCGTGAAACATTCCACAAAGCATTAAAATGTATTTACTCCTACTAATTGTTTTTGTAACTAATAATTGATTCACATTTACAAATGTACCTATTTTGTATTAAATTCAAAAATCACTTATTTTTATAAATTGCATTAAAGTTTAACAGTTCTTTCAAGTGTTACGTACTTCAGTGTGAAATCCTTCACATATCCATTCACTTCTAAAGCCCTTCTTTTTAAGCTTCAACATAAGTATATCAATCTGAATTACATTTTCAATCTTCAAATTTACTTATAACTTTTTTTTTTTAAACCAAATGTAACATTAACAAGAAATCTCAAAATTAATAGTGATTTTATTCACTAATATATTATTTTCTATTTGTAAATAGTTAGGAGAAACTGTTTAAGCAAAATTTGAATTATGTGTAAAATTAAATGAAATAAAGTTTTGGTAGAATTGTGATTTTTATTACATTCTCAGATATCTTGGCACAGTTGTACATGGAAAATTAAGATTTTAAAGTACATTTCCCAAAGATTACATAACAAACAAGGAGAAGCTTATAAAATTTTAAGGAATTAAGCTATAAAAGCTTATTTTTAAGCTGTATCAAATTCATATCATATAAAGAAGTTATTACTTTTAAAAAACGCAAATGGTATAATATCACAAAATTTACTTTTAACAATGCTTTGCATGTATTGTTACAATAAAAACATGTCCTTGTTAAAAATTGTTCACATAGAATGAACTTAAGCTAAAAGCCTAATTTTGCATTTGCATAAAACTTATAAATATTTGATGTAAAACTAACTTAGCTAAGAATATATTTATGAGTTTTACCAAATATGTTAATGTAAACAGAGAGGCCCCTTACATCAGTTTTTAACCTATTGCAAGTAATTGTACCTGTAATAACATCACCTTTCTTTACTTCTCTGCAGTCCTTAAAGTAAAATAATGTTTGTTTCCAATGTGTTGGTGTTACATGTGGCCCTGTTGAAAAGCTCACAGGAGTTGGTAGGTCGAAAAAAGTATCAAAATAACCTATGAGTGAGGTAATAAAACCATCTTGTGTAATTTCTAGTTCAAACTGTGAAGTGAAATCTACTACATTTGAATTGCATGTATTAAGATCAATGTCTTTCACAACATACGGTGTAGATATAATGTGCTTAGAAGGAACAACCTCGACACTTGCTTCTCGCACTACCTCAGATTTCATGCAATTCATTTTGTATCCATAAACATCAGACCAGAAGTTTATCAATTTCTTATGTGTGTCAATATCTCCATTTGCCACTAAGCTGATATTGCACCTGTTTGGCATCAAAACTCCGCCAGATTTAAGACAATTGTCTCTTGCATAAATGACACTATCTAACATTCCCTCAAATAACAAAAAATATCCCATCCATTCAGAAACAATTATGTTAACTTTTTCGTCTAATTTAGTATCTTCAAGTCTACCTTTGATAGTTTTTATTTGATCTGTTAAATTATTTTCTCTTATTATATCCATAGCATGATAAATAACTTCTGATTGATCTAATGCGTAAATTTTCTCAGATCCAGCTGTTGCACAAAACATTGATAGGATCCCAGTTCCACATCCAAGATCAAGTACGATTTTGTCACGAAATGTTTCTGTATTTTGCAATATTGCATTCTTGTAACTTTCTGTGCGCACTTTATCAGAGAGCATGTCATAATGTATTCCAAAATGAGCATAACTGCTGAAGTATCCTTCATCACATTCCAATGGTACCTTAGAAACGCAATCAACAATCATTGTGCTCTCATTACCCACAGAACTTATGTTGCCTTCAACTATAGTTTTCATTGATGTTTGCATTTTACCCATATCCTCCTTTGCCATCTGTAAATGAGTTTGAGACTCTTTTAGCTGCTCTGTAAGAGTTTGTATAGTTCTCTGTAGCTCAAGAAAATGTGCCTGTGACAATGTGACCAATCCATTCTCAACATTGGCATGGTATGATTTTGGTGAACTAACATCTTCCATCAAAGACTCGAAGTCAAACATTAACCATTCATCATTATCAACGGGTTTTAAATACTTATCGTCGTTCCATAGTGCTGTTGTCATACACATTATATCTTCTGCTTTTGAATTATTTATTTTTATATAGTTAATTAACTTTATGTACGAATAGCAATCCATGTTAAATTTTGATTTTACAGTGCTTAATTTGAAATTGTGGTCTTTTTCACAATGCGAAATGGCTTCTTCTATTGTAGATAGAATGGTTGCACAAAACAAACATGTAACTAACGAATTGCTGGTATCCATTTCTTGCCATTCATCTTCATTATAGTTCTCTTCATCACTGCTTAGGTCGGGTACGTCAGACATTATATATTAACTAATATAACCAAATATTATTTGTTAATAAAGAGAAGATATTCGTTGATCTGCACATAGACCACTTTAGCCATGCGGCAAAGTAAATATAAATGACAATGACAAGTGACACTATTATATATTACACTGACAGACAAAAATATAAAATGTCCATGCCATGTTATACAGAAAAAAATAAAAAAAAATAAATATAAAATTCATAGGGTTAGTGTATCTATTGTTTGCGGAATAATATAAATAGCGTAAATTTTCTAAAAAGGTTAAAGACTGAATTTGATATATAATTCATTTTACACAAAATTAATAACAAAAGAAATTAAACTCGAAAACAAAACATAAAAACCAATAGAATGTACACGTTCAAATATTTGTTACTTGGAATATTGTTTTGCCCAAAAAACATTATACCAAAACATCTAAAGAAAAACTCACAGAATTTCAAATTAAAGTTTCTTAAAAAAATTAATATGAATAGGAGAAATTCAGCAATAACATCAAGTAACACTATAAAACAAAAACACATTAACGACATTTTTAACAGTAATGAATACATTCACAGTTTGCATAACTCATAGATAAATGTTTAAATAGAAATTTGGTTTCTATAGAAACCGTGAATCGTAATTTTATCAACAAGCCGCAAATACCAGATTTGACCATTTGTGCTTAAAATTAAATGACACACCTACATTTTTTACGTATGTAATAAAAGCAACTGAAAACCATTCACAAATGAAGTTGAAAGTATCATCAATTAAAAAACCAAAACATGTGGGAGCTGTAATTTGTGTAAGCTGGAGTACTACTGAAGATGTTTTCTCTTGCGGGTAAGAACTTTAGTTATTTTATGAAATATTGATATTAAGAGGTCATTTTTAATTTATATTTAATTTTAGAGACGATCACAAGCTTATAAAATGGAACCTTCCATCTAATGAATGCATGACTGTTACAATATTTCCTGAAGATTTATTTCCAACTAGTATGCAATTATTTCCTAGTATAAACAATACCGGCAAAAAACCTCAAAATGAGTTAATTCTAATATCTTCTACTGATGGCAGGTAATAATACTAATATTCTTATACACTCGATCCCAACTTCCTAACCCTTCCAAACCTTTTAAGCGTTCTAAGATTACGAAATTTAGAAACATTTTGGATGACTCCTGGGAGATAAGTTAATGAAAGAAAATTAAAAGCCAATGATGTTTTAATAAAGATGATGCATGTCCATACTGCGGGGCGTTAAAAAGTTGTTTCGCATATGCAAAGTGCATATAGACCATACGGTCTAATATATATATAATCTAGTTATAGTATATCGTAGTATAAAGTATTATTTATATAGTCTAATATAGATATAGTATATCGTCCTACACATGCACGTATCATGCGATACGGAGAGACATAGCAGTCGTGTTGCAATCTAATTAACCAATTGCCGTAATTTGAGTGCATTAATTTCGGTGCGCTGGTATCATATTCATATCTACTTCGTATTTTATATAAAACCAAAAACTATACACTAACCTAAATACAGTTTTTACATGAAAGATATTATTCATGTAATTAAATATGTTTCCATTTATACAAATCAGCAACGGTTCTACCTCATAACACAAAAAATAAAACACTGTACAAATAGTTATAATTATTTAAATATTAGGTTTCACATAGTAAATTACAACGGGCGCATTGAAAAAAGCACAAATGCGCATCAGGGAGCATGCTTGGTGGCTATTTGGAGCCCTAATGCAGATGGAATTTTAACAGGTACGGTAGTTAAACAAAACTATATTACAGATTTTACGTTTATCGTTTATAGTACATATTTTTCATAAAAGATTCTCATTAAACAATATGCCGTATCGTGTATGTACAATACCTATACCATTAGAAATTATAGTAATACTTATAAGTAAGATGTTCGGTTTACAAATGTTATATCTGTAACCTAAAATTCGGTGGGGCTGTGTTACCTAATTCTATGTGTGCTGATATGCGGCGGCTCAAACATTCCTTTTTTTATGTAAAACAGGACTAACGGGCAGGATACTAACCTGATAGAAAGTTATCATGAACATTGCAACCCTGGCCGGTTTGCAAATGCGTTGCCAACCTTATCAGATAATTATGTTGACTTAGTATCTAAAATATAGAATTGATGGTCAAAGGCGATCAAGACAGTAGCAGTCGTTAGTGCTAATATGATTTAAAAGATATTTTTTTATTTACCAGAATGGCAAGCAAGCTAGTTCTTCATCTGATGTTAAGTGATAAATAACCAACCCATGGACATTTGCATTACCCATGGGGTTGCAGATGCGTTGCAAACGTTTAATAAAGGAGCCCGTTTAATAACGGTTACATTGCTAACCAGACGAAACGCATAAGTATAAATGTTCAACTTATAGCTGGTCTTCTGTGAGATCGTGGTACTTCCTCGTACGGATTTTTGTGCAACATCGAACACTGTTGCGTACCCCTACCACAGTAAGACAACAAAACAGAATTAACTAGAAGTTAGTAATTAGCTTCACGAGCGATAATTCTTGTAAAATTGAAGGATTAGTTTTGTCGGTATTTTAATTACAAATACTTTCAGCTGGAGAAGACGGTTGTGTAAAAGTTTGGTCATGTAATGGATTACTCAGATCGACTGTGGTGGAATCCGAAGTACCATGTTATATGGCCCTATGGAGCCCTGATAGTAATGGAATATTATACACTAAGAGGAATTATTTAATTATTCATCATTTGCAAGCAAAATCTAAAATTACAAAGGTATCTGATAATCTACATGATATTTAAACGAACCGGCTAACCTATTTGTCTTCACGTTGGCCAGTGTTATGATATTCAAAATGAGATACGAGCAATAGTTCTATTGAACGTATCTCATTTATTATTAGCTATTTAACTCATTTTGACATTATATGTGCCAGAAATGATTTAGGTAGGCATGTATTTATTGTGTTTTTTTTATTAAATTTCAGTGGTGGGCACACGATGCTGTCATATTATCGACTGCGTGGAATGCCACTAACAACCTTATTATTTCTGGAGACGAGGATGGATGCGTAAAAGTTAGTTTATCTCTGTTACCGACGATGATCATTCCTGTTTTTGCACATGTAGTCTTTACTAATTGATTTTTTTGTTTTTGCTAAAATTAAAAGTGTCAAGTATGCTTAGAAGCGGGGACGCACGATGACCTCACAGATGACCGGCGTGAAGGGGAAGTGGAAGTGTTACACTTCTGCGTTTCGTTTGGTGAGTGAGGTAACCGGGACCCAATTCATTAAAAGGTGGCAACCCAAAGTAATTACTATATTGTCAAGTTTTACTGTAGTACCTATTAGTATTTATTTGTAACTGATCTGCTTATAAATTATGTAACAGGGAATTGCCATTTAAGTTTAGGCATCAATGCATTAATAAACACGCAAAAGTGGTCATCGTCCTTATAATTAGTTTTATTTTATTACGTCACATTTTCATTATTTTTTTTTTTTTTTTCAAAAAGGTTTGGGACGTATTCCAGCAGCTTATATTTTCAATCAAGGAGTTTTTACAACCTTGCACTTCTATTAGCTGGTCTCCCACTGGTGATCTATTCGTTGCCGGAAGCTTCAACAAAATATCACTACACAGCGATGATGGCGTATGTATTGAAACAGTTCTTACTACTTTGCTTTTAAAGTGGATATTAGCTTGTGAAAGGCCCATCTTAAACTTTTTATTTGCTAGCAAAGTTACTTCTACATGAAATGATTTCATAGCAGTCCTTTGTAACTTTTTACTCTATATCTAACAATAAAAATTAACATCTTTAATTTAGATAAGGTAGATAATTCCATTTTATCATAACGACATATTGACAATATGCTGCAGTTATTCGTGGTCATTCCGTACAAATATATTTCACGTTTCAGTGGCCGACCTCATCGTTGGATTTATCTTTGGGCAGTATTTATAATGTGGCCTGGTCACCCGATGGAACACAGCTGGCGGCTGCCTGTGCTGACGGTCACGTTATATTCGCTTATCTTATTGACAGGTAATTTGACAAAGATATCACGCCTGTCTATGATGGAAATAGCTTGATATCGCAGAGGAACGTCGAATTTGACGTTGAATTTGGACATTAGCCGTGTTTGATCGCAGAAATATAGGGTGCGCAAAAGTTAAGCGCGCCTGTGTGTTCGGTCGAGTCATTGCGTTGTTTATAGGTACCAGACTACACAGGCAGTGCTGCTAAAGGAACAGCAGTACTCATTCATTCTTATCGCAGGCCAATTCTTTCTTTATCTTGTTCCACTTATTGCTAACGGTTAACTATTCGGTTTTGTGATCATGATTATTTTAAATATTTTTCTCATTGCTTGATTCGACGATTCTGTTCTCATCTACCTACTTAAATCAACGGCGTGGGTGGGCTATAATTAGTGCCAGATTAAACAATTAACAAGGCTTAGGAAATACTGTGGCCCACACCCCACAAAGAGCCTTACTAAAGAGCCATGACTTTTCGCAAAACTAAAATATCAAGTAAGTTGTAACTAACCGTAGGAGATATAAGTGAGCGCTGGCCACTGGCTTATAGACGAACCCCCTAATATCAATTTTAAACTGTTCGCATAATTCAACTAATTAGAAGAGTGTAATTTCTCGAAAGTATTGTATACATCGTATACATCGTTAACACAAGAATCGTTCTCCTCAGGACTTACAACTGGAAGAACTTCAATTGCACGCAAATATCGCGCAAGGTCATAGCGATTAAGGACATAACTACTGATGAAAGCGATCAGCTCGATTACCCGGATAGCGTGGTGCAAATTGCCCTGGGCTTCGGCCACATGGCGGTGGCCACGGTGAAGCAGTGCTTCATTCACAAGCTGACCTCTTGGAACACACCGGTGACATTCGACCTGAAGGACGGCGCTGTCAGCATGATTCTGCTAGCTCAGAGGTTATGATTCATTCAAGAGCTTATCATTTTATATTATGTTTTCTTTTCATCAATTTTTTTTCACCTGATGGTAAGTGATAAGTCGTCGCATCTTTCAAATACTTTTTTATCATAATTTTGCAAATACATCGGTTTCCTTACGATGTTTCCCTTCACCACTCAGCACGTGATAAATTAACACTTCAGGTCCAGCCGGCCGTGGTCCGAACCTAGATTCTCACGCACCTAAGCTTTGCAGATAGCAAAAGTAAAGTAAAGTAACAGCCTATAAATGTCCCAGTGCTGGGCAAAGGCCTCCTCTGTATAGAGGGTATCAGGGCATAGTCCACCACGCGGCCCCACTGCGGATTGGTGGACTTCACATATTTTCGAAATATTTTTTTTTGTTATTACTTCGAAAATATGCAGGTTTCCTCACGATGTTTTCCTTCACCGCCGAGCACGTGATAAGTCAGCACTTAAAATTAACAATTTCATTGGTGCTGGCACCGGGGATCGAACTCAGGTTGCTCGAGTAAATTTAATTAAAGGCGAGCACCCGGACACTGAGCTATCACGGCTCCAAGTTGCAGATAGTACTTGTATTAAATGCCAAGCTGTGAATAGCCACTAGCGATTTTTTTTTTCATAAGATTGTTGTCATTTTAGGTGCATGTGCATAGTGGAGAGAGGTCGACTCTCTGTATACAGTTACACCGGCCGGCTCTTAGCAAGCCCGCAGATCGGATCCCGCATGGAAGCTCGGGGACGTTCTGCAATATCTCTCGGCCCGGATACTTTGGCATCCATCGACCAGACCAACCCTACGTGTTAGTTCGCACATGTTAACTATTTTATGTTAACTAATTAAAAAAAAAAGAAAATGTCGTCTGCGTCACGGACTTACTATGTTTCATACATGACACATTCAAGCAACACAACAAGTGCAAACAATTAAGATAATTCCGGATCTGGATGTATATTCATGAGAAATTTTATTTGTAAAACGTCCATATAAACACAGTACAAAGTTATACATACAGTGAGGACATTATTTTTATGAAACATATTATTTGAGTGATTTAAGGTCGAAACGTCGGGAGTTTAAAACTAAAATGAACTGCGATAAAATACGTGAATTTATTTTATTAAAACATAAAATATGAAAATACCGCGACCGTAAATTTTACTCAACCTTCATATATTTTTCACAAAATATCAGTTTCTTATCGGTGTCCGTGAAATTTAGAACCGACGGTGTCAGCTTTAATGTTAAAAGTCCGAAACAAGAATAAATTGAGTATAACGTTGTGACTTCGACATCAGCAACTTTTTCATAACATTTTGCAGTTATACACGTGTACGACTTGCCAACTGCCACCTACTCAATAAGCCGGGTAACGGCCGACAGCAATGTGACAAAAATCAAGCACTCTATAGCTGCTTGCAGCGTTGCCTTAAGTCAGACTGGGCCGATAAACGAGAGGCAGATCGCGATTATCGACCGGAGGAGGGACCTCTACGTCATCACTGTGAAGGATCCGAAGCAGAAACCCGTAGTGTTGTGTAAGTTCACTGAAACCCGCGCTTAGATATTAGTCTTTATTTTTATACTCACTAGCGACCCGTAATGTATTATACATATAAACCTTCCTCTTATAAAAAAATCGCATCAAGACCATTTGCGTAGTTTTAAAGATCTAAGCGCACATAGGGACAGACAGACAGGCGGGACAATTTTGTTTTATACTCTGTAGTGATTCTGTCGAATAGTTAACGCTTAGTTAATTGTCTTACAATGTAATTAGTTACATTACAATCTTTAGTATTTCTCTCGTGTTAGTTTCAATTTTTATGTGCATGGGTGGTACAATTGGCAATAAGCACTTATTGCCCATTGAATTGACCCTAACGAACAAGTCCGAGGTGAGTGGTCACTCGACCCCTAAAGTACCTACATGGCAAAAAAAACTCATGGTAAAACCTGCGCATTTGAAAATTGAAACTTCGATCATTCGGAAGTTCAACAAATCAACTGGACTAATAAACTGCTACTTTAGGCAGAATTTTAAATAAATTATTGTTATTATTTAATAATTAGAAAGAAGAAGAATTTTAAATAAATTTATTTATTAGGCAGAATTTTTTACCATAAACAAAACGAACGTAGTGCAATTTTGAACCAAGTAAATTGTTACAACTTTAGCTTTTTATTTTAATGTTTTTTTTTTTTTTTTGTTTCATTTGGTGTGTTATGTTTTGCCAACGTATTTTTACTATACAGCCCGGGCCATATTAAGTGTAATGTGGAGCACTGAGTCTGAGCTATTGGTTGGTTTAAGAAAGGAAAACATAGTATGTTGGGCGTACCAGAAAAGTAACACCCGACCTGAACTCTCTACGACTGTGGTCTCCATACCATCAAGGTATACCTTTATTGTTATTTATAAATATAAATATTCGTATGTATTGATTTTGTTTTGATGTAACGAAAACTTACCGGTAGTATTACTTTGACTATCAATAAGCGAGTGTAATGCTCCTATGTTAAATATAAATATTTGAATTCGAAAACTATATGTATCGTCCCAATAGGTAGAACGTGATACTAAATTTTTTAACCGTTTCAACAGTAACATTGGCCATAATCCCCGTATACAAAGCATTGAGAACGGTATGGCGACCATATTCCGCGGCAAAGGATCGACTGTTATGCATATTTCTCTCGGTATAGTCCACGTGGAGATGTTGTTGAAATATATTGCATCGAACATGTGGAACGAAGCCCTACAGGTACGGACACTGACAGTTTGTATTGAAAATGAAAAACAAAATCTCTTTCTACCACTTCACACTATTTTTATTTTGTAAGTTTACTTTACTTGTTTGTGATAATTTTACAAACAATGTAAGTATCCTTAGTGGAACGAAGAACCTTTCCTTGTACCTATAACATCTATAAGACTAAGATCATAAAATTAACTTTAGAACATACGACGGTAACACCGTAGTGTTGCTTCATTGAAATGTTTAGTATTATGTTGTGTGAACTCCGAAAGTAATACACGAATTAAAAAAAAACCTTTAAATTATAATTTGTAGAAAGAAAGTACGAAAATTCAGTCAAAAAACCTATCTACATTGAACATGTCCGTGTTAATTAAAGCACGTACAGGGACTTTTCTAAGGGCATTATTTTTATTACATTCTAGACATATATAATGTTATATAAGAAATGATAAATACTTAAAATCACTCGTAAGTAATTAATTACATTCATTTGAACTTATCTCTAAAAGTGCGTCATTAATACGCAACTCATTTATTTTACCCGCGATCATTCATAACTAACACGAACACAAGTTCGTGCACAGTAAAATTTAGGTATTTATGAATGACTACCGCATTGTCAACACGTTCTGTTTCTTAGGGAATAGAATAGCTTTTTTATTAAAAAAAAAACTTTTTGTTTTTATTTCAATAAACAATTATATTACTTAGTCTGAACCTCCTGTCTAAATTTGCATACCTTTCAAAAAGCCACCATTTGTAGCTTTGTCGCACGCTTAAAGACAACAGACTGTGGGGTTGCCTTGCAGAGCTGTCTTTAGAGAGAAACCAGTTAGACATTGCTGAGGAAGCATTCACGGAAGTGCATCAGTATGCTGAAGTTTTCAGAATTCAGCACATAAGTACGTACAACTCTTTGATTTTGAAAAAAAAAAACTTCGTCCTGAAAAACGGTCAGTTGGAGAACTTTATTTAAATTGTACTTTTACAAACCGTTGCATACACAAATAACCCATTATATTCCGGTAAAAATATCTTTAGTGTAACACCAGTCTTCGCTATCGCACGAACGGTCAGGTCCGTCTGAAGAAGAACCACGACCTCACAGAAGACCGATGTGAAGTGTTCTACGTTTCGTCTTAGTAAGGTATATAGGGGCCAACTATATTATCTTGACAACTAGGTATATTGTAAGGTGGCACTGGCGGTTATCACTTAACATCAGGTGAACCGTCTGCTCGCTTGCCTCGCTTCTTACACCCAGCACAGTCATCCACATGTATCGTGTTGATTCTCATGTGTACATTTTATGATAAAATAAATTTATGTAAAGAATTTGTCTCCACCATAATTGATGTCTTGAATAAGTCTTGAATTATTTGATTTCCTATATAAGTAGACATCATAATCCAACTCCTTAAATTGTAAGAACAAGCATTTTGTTTTCAGAACACATTAGAAGTACCGGTGGAAAAGTCTCACCAGCGGAATAAGAAAAAGAAGCTCTACAATCAGTAGAGTATGGAATTAAATGGATCCGTACGTTTACGTTCTTTATAGAAAAATAAGTTGTTTGTTTAGAGTTACACAAAAATGCAAAAAAGTTATTTCGAATTCACACAGCTGGATTTAGTTTATTTCCTGTTATACGTATCTGATCTCAAAATGATAATAAATTAACGATTTTAACAGAACATGGAAGTGTTATTTGTATCATAACAAAATTAAAACAATACCGTGAAACCTGATTTCTTTATAGAAAAGCTATTTTTTCAGATTCGATTATATATAACTTTAATATTATTGAATTTAACATACTAGTGAGTCGGTGATATTTTGATATTAATTAGCATGAGTTTATAGTTAAGAAAAAAAATACCTTTCATTTAGAAAAATCTTTTACCGGCCAGAAGGGCACATGTCCGATTTCCAACTGTATTCAAGAGTTTGAGGATACCGCCAGTGTTGTGGAGTGGTCAAAAATTGAAAACTTTAACTCGTTATAACGTGGAACTGCTAAGCTATTTCAACGATCGTTGGGCATTGTAACAGATTGGAAAACTAAAAAAAAAGTAACTATAATTGTGAAATGAAGAATTCCACAAAGTTGGTTAGTGTAGCAATGGGCTGCCCAGTATTTCCCATTGTAGACTTAGAGATGGCCCTACAAACAGCTCCCGTTCAACCAAGATTTTACAAGCGGTATGTTGATGAAACTCACAATTTTACTATCAGACAAAGTGACAAAGTAATTTTTGACGTTTGACAAAGTAATTTTTCACCTCAAAATTAAGTTTACTTTGGAATTAGAGACATGTAACTCCTTAAACTTTTTAAACGTACTCATCCGAAATTTAAATAAGACCTTGAGCCACACTGTGTATGGAAAGGATATAACACACAGTATACAACCAACCATAGAAATAAATATTCAAATGTTAATTCTCACCACCATCCTTCCCATTTAGCTACTGCTGGTCAAAGGCCTGCTCCATACAGAGGGTATCAGGGCATAGTCCACCACGCGGCCCCACTGCGGATTGGCGAACTTCACATATCTTCGAAATATTTTTTTTTTGTTATTATTTCGAAAATATGCAGGTTTCCTCACGATGTTTTCCTTCACCGCGAAGCACGGGATAAGTCAGCACTTAAAGTTAATAACTTCATTGGTGCCGGCACCGGGGATCGAACTCAGGTTGCTCGAGTATATTGATTAAAAGACGAGCGCCCGGACACTGAGGTATCACGGCTCGTTATTTATTGTTAGCACTGACCAAATTTAACTTATTAAAATAACATATTATCTCTGATGGTAAATTGCTGTAAATAGTTTCCTGTCAAACCAATATATATAATAATAGGAATGATTGTCAATTTCCTGTAATATTAAACAAACTTTTATCAATTGTTTCCAATGAACTTATACCCGAAGTTCATGTTAAATGCAAATCATTTCAGTACTAAAACACATAGAGGGCTAATTATAATTATTAGTGATACACTGAACTCAAACAAAATAATACTCAAATTCCCCAACCAACTTGAGTAGTCCAAAAACAAGGCGCAATATATCTACTTTCTATACTTTTCCATATTACAAGTTCGAAATTGAAACTGGAATATCAATAGTTTCTATAACTATTCCTATGAATATTTTCACCGCGTCAACAAACACATACTGGTCCTATCTTTCCTCGTTTTTGAAAAGTTAGCGCAAAAAGAAACCAAGAAGGTTCCACAGTTCAATGTTTTTATGACATACTTGTACAATGCGCTTTTCTGTAGGTATCCAAACCAAAGTTAAAATGGTAACCTGAAACCACCTGAAGAACTGACATTGTAAGATATGTGATATCTGTATCTACGCGTTACGTCGGACTTATTTAAATAAAGTAATTGATGGTAACCTCGGTCTCCTCAGCCTATGCCCTGACCAAGAACGCTGGAAAGAGTTCAAAACGTTTGGAATCAAAAAATCAAGATTAAAACGCGATAAAATCAGTACAATAGTTTATATAATCATTTAAATACAATTATCACAACTCAATTTTAGGCTAGCATATTTATTATGAGCACTAACATACCTATCCTTCAGCTGTAAGTATTTTTGTACACATAGACATTTTTTTACTCATTTTTTCACCAACCCGTTACGGGATATATTTTTTATGTATATACTAGCTAACATAATATATTATTTAAACATATTGTAGCTAATTTAAGTACAAATATTAACAAAAACGATATGTTAATTGAATACAAAAAACTTTTAAACATACTATTAATAAAAAAGTATATTATGCTTGAGCCACAGATAATAATTTTGATTTTGCCAGTAAATGTGAATCGTAGAACACTTTTATTCAAAGATGGATGTGATTTCGAGGATTTGTTCACTGTATGATGTTCCTAGTTCATAATTCTATCCATTTTATTTCTTTAATGGCCCTGGAATCGCGTCCTTTATCATAATTCATTTTGATTAATTTCAGTGCTGCCAACTTAGGGCTTTTATCCCCAAATAATGGGCCTTTTTGGAGTTCAAAAACTTTTAGGAGCATGAATAATATTTAATATAATATTATTCATGCTCCTAATGCATGCATAATATTTCATGCATTACTATTTTGACTGTCAAAATGAGTAAAAAAAGGCCAAATGTCTGTAAATGAATGTAATTAATGAAATTTTAGTTAATCTTATGTTGTTTTGTAAGTTATTTCAACTATTTGTAATGAAAAATAATTAAAATTAAGTTACATTTGTTTATCGTAATAAAATGTGACAGTACTTTTTTTAGGGCTATTTAAATTAGTTGGTTGGTTGTTGGTTTTTTTTTAATTAGTTGGCAACACTGAACAGATTCATTCATTCCTTCAGTAAACGTAGTGATTACATTCTCTTTGTCAGTCAGTACTCGCGTCAGTGAAGTATGGGCGTTTCAGGCGAAGTTTGTTGACAATGGCAAAACTTTTACGATCGTTTTTATTAAGTGTAAAACTTATCAAAATTAACTTAGAACCGCATTTAGTAACTTAAAGTTTAGTTGTTGTGTTCAATAACGGATAACAGAAGTGATAAACAATTAAAGAAATTTTATTTTGTGCGTGTCCTACATTTTAACATACTTCTGTTATACAAAAATATTATTTTTTTATGCGTACTAATGGCGAAAGATGCATGCTTGGTACGGGAATTTAATGTTGTTAATAAGCCTACTGTTTTTTGTAAGTGGGAACGAAGATGAATCTGCGAATGAACATTCTTTGGAGTTGACCCAGTCCTTGAACTTAGCCCGGCAAGAGCTTATTCAAGACGCATGTCGGCGATTTCCTATAAAATGGAGTCTCGATGAATTACCCTCAAGTCAGCTGGAACATATTCTAGTTGATGACACCCATAGACTTCTCTATTGCTATGTGCCAAAGGTGAGTTTATCAAGTTTAACCAGTGTTTCCGTTTTTCCTATTTTCCGTTGACGTTGCTACATCATAGTCAACATTTTCATCCAACGTATGCCTAATACAGTTTTTGTCACTGATATTTTACGACTTCGCAAACATAAAGAGTTCCACTTGAAGTTAAATTATTTAAGATTAACATTTTATTCAAAAACAACATAAACTCTTTAAAATAATACCTGTGCTAAGGTTGAGAATTCATAGACTTCACAATGTTCTTGGGTTGTCTTATATTTATATGTTTATTAAAATAATTGTTGAAAATAGGTGTTGAAACAATTTAAAACAAATTTTATTGTTTTTCAATAATTTATATATCTAGAGTTAAGTGTTAAGAATTAGGATTGTCAAGGCTAACTACTTAAAAATAGTGAAATTGGAGGTCAGTGTTAATGGTTTAGTGAATCATTAACTGAACATTATTTTTTTATGATCTGTTTGTTTGTATTATTTGTTTTATTTATATAATTTTTTATATATTATTAAATTAAAACATACTTTTTAATGTTATTAACATATCTAATAAAGCACCAATAACTAAATGTTATTTAGATATGGGTTGAAATGTCAGTAACAGAAGTTATTGTTGCAAAATTTTATTAAAAAAATGGGGGTCTCCCATAAGCTGTTTTATACATTATTATGATTATATATTTATAAATGAAAACTGAGAAAGTATATGAATTTGTTTATGGGGCTATGTCCTAGTTAAGCAACAAGTATTTGATAAAAATTATAAAGTCTTGATATGGTGAAAGACTTGTTATTTTACTGCATACATGTAATATAAATGAAATAGAGAAATATAGTTGTCTGTCTGAAATATGTCATCTGATAAAGTATTATTGTTTTCTTTATAACATTCCTATGAGGAAACAATATATAAATATTTAATTGTAACACTTATATGTAAACAAATGTCATAAATTATTAGGAACTTTGAGACAGTTTTTTTTTTAATGGTAAAATGCTAGAATAGCGACAAAGCAATTCTTTCAATTACCAATATTCATAAATGATATAAAAATGATACTGGAACTAGAATTGCCAAATGAATCACTGTTCACACCTACTTTTCACAGAAAAAAATAATTCACACTTGTTAGTTGCACTAGGAAAATTAGGTAACATCACCTTGTCATTAGAAGCATGCTTGTTTTTGTGTACAAATATTTTAATGGATAAACAATTATGTAACCGAAACAAACCATGAAGTAAAAATTGTCTCATCATCATAAAGATATAGGAATACGGTGAAAAGGAAATAAATCTAATAAATATTAATGATGTTGCTGCTCTTCGAGAATAAAAAAATGTACAGCTCAAGAACCTTACCTATGAGTTTGAAATAATCAATACCTCAAGTGAAGGTTAATATCCTGTATCATTATATTCTCCAACAAAGTAAAAATATTCGCCAATATATTGTAAGCAACGTAATGGAATATGATTTTCTTAGTACTACTAGAAGATATAATTTTTTTTTTTCTGTTAAGTGTTTACCCGTGATTTTTAATTGATAATTCTAATTTGCGTTAGGTTTTTTTATCCTTTATAACCGGCCTAAAGTGGAAGTATAATACTTTCGCGTTTCGTCTGCTGAGTGAGGTGTCCGGAGCCCAATTCTCAAAAGATTGTCAACGCGTCTGTAAATCTCGGGTGTGGCAGATGTCCATGGGCGGCGGTATTCACTTAACATCAGGTCCCGTCTGCTAGCTTGGCAAATATTCACATTAAAAAAAAATTGTCACTGAATATCGATGCTTCGCTATTATAGATGTTTATTTATTTATGTGTATACGTAATAATGAATAATATAATATAATTAACAGGTGGCATGCACAAACTGGAAGAGGGTGCTGATGATACTGGAGGGAAAATGGAACGATACGGATGTACTGTCCATACCGGCCAGTCTTGCGCACTCGCCGGGAATGTTCCGGAACCTTAGTACGGTGCCGAAAGAAGAGCGGGACATCATGTTGGACTCGTACCACAAGATGATCATCGTTAGAAATCCCTTCGAGCGTCTCTTGTCGGCGTACCGAAACAAATTGGAGGGAGAGACTCAGAGCGCGAAATATTTCCAGGTACAGTTGAGTTTTTAACGAAAATGTTAACAATGCTAGTTGTTAAAACTGTGAAATGAAACTATTTTGCGGCATTTATCGCGTTTAGTTAGATTTTTAAATTCCCTTTCCTCGAAACGTAACGGAATTTAAAAATCAAACTAAACTCGATAAAATAAGTAAAATACATCATTTCATTTCACAATGTATAATGTTCTCGTAAAACCATGAAATCAATATTATTAAAACTATTTTGGAATCCTCAAATTTTAAGTAAACTAAATTACAGTTAAACAATATGTTGAAAGATAAGAGATTGAAAGAGATTTTTGATATTTTATTTGTAATAGTGTTCCCAAAATAAATCTCTCCCGTATCCTCCAGGATCGTAGAATTATGATAAATATGTCGAATTTATTGGTCAATAAGAAAACTTTAATACTTCCCATGTAACCTGTTATTATATTTATTTAAATTCTATTTACCATATTAAATTATATTAGCACATGCTGCGTTATAATCATTAGTCGGTGAAATCTCACAACCGCAGAAGATCTCTAATATGTTTAACTTCTAAAAATAAGGCAGCGTCGTCGCATTCTAACGAACAGTTCTTCAACATAACCACGCCAATTTATCATTTTGGTATATAAAAGTTAGAAATGGACTTTAAAAATTTGCCCGTAAAAATTACATTCGTTTGCGTCAATATTTAAGAACCGCCCAGTTGATTCTCCAGCGATTCTCTAATCAATATATAACGATATAACTAATATCTTTGAAAATGATGATCCACGGGCGATGATTATCAAATATAAAAAATCACATAAACCTTTGTTCCGCCCGTCCTCATAACTTTATCCGAAACAAGTGCTGCGCCCACTGGGACCGACAAAAACCGAAGCCCATCTTCGATCCCAGACTATTTGGTATGTTATTGAATACTAGGTGTTATCCGCGGCTCCACCCGCGCGGCCAAAGGGAATTAACAATGAGCTTTTTATTATACACTACTTAGTTGACACTTATTTTATATATTTTGTATATTATTTATATATTATTCATTACCTATATATATTTTGGACAATTCACACAATATTTTTATAAATTATATTTATAAAAATTATTGGCCTATGTGTTATTCTGATGTGTATGCTATATTATTGTAAAGTTTCATTAAAATCTATTCAGTAGTTTTTGCGTGAAAGAGTTATACACATAAACATAAATGTAAATATATTTATAGGAGTTTACTTGACGATACGCGGTTATCTATTACTAGGTTGTAAATGCTCTCATGCCTCATATATACTTATTTGTGTACATATACATATGTTGCATTTTATGGCACATTTATTAACTTAAATTTTTATAGTCTTCATTTAGCACCTACCATATACTTTTCACCATGACAAGGGTTGACTGGTAGAGAATGCCATTAGGCATTAAGTCCGCCCATTGTAGCCCTTACCTTAAGGTGTAGCAATGAAGCTTAAATAGATAAATAAATATTGACTTAGACACTAAATGGTAAAATAATATATCAAATCGGCAAACGGCCAAACAATTAGCTATGTTCGTCCCCAGGACCGTGTGGGCAAGAGGATAGTGCGCGCTTACCGCGAGAACCCCTCGAACGAGTCGCTGGAGCACGGCCACGACGTCACCTTCAAGGAGTTCGCGCTGTTCCTCACGAACAAATCGGAGGAGTTGGCGGACGTGGTGAACAACGAGCACTGGCAGCCCATCACCAGCCTATGCCACCCGTGCCTCATAAAGTACACTTTAGTCGGTGAGTGAGCAGTTGTTTCACCGTGACAACTTATTTACCGTGAGGAATTACTTACCTTCAGGACTTTCTTTCTGTGAGGACTTTCTTTCCGTGAGGACTTTCTTTCCGTGAGGACTTTCTTTCCGTTAGAACATACTTTCCGTGAGGACGTTCTTTCCGTGAGGACTTAAGTCCTTGCTACTTCAGCTGTTGCGAGTACCGGAGTCTCGAACGGGAAAGTGCTTTACAGAAGACCGTCGCAGTGTAGAGGTTTTTTTACGTTTCGTCTACTGTGTGAGGAAGTTAAATTTGCTGTCAACACATAGCATCGAGGGAATCGCTTGGTAATTCGCCACATATTCTCCACGATAATAAACATAATATTTGAAACTAGCTGCTGCCCGCGACTACGCTTGCGTAGAATAGGCTCAAGGCGTAACATTCAAACAGAAAGACGGATATACATAAAATATGTATATAAATTATAGCCTGTCTTATTCTGATGTATAAGCTATATTATTGTAAAGTTTCATTCAAAATCAAAATCAAATGTATTTATTCAACATAGGAGCATTACACTCACTTATTGATAGTCAAAACACTACCACCGGTTCGGAAAAGAAAGCCACTGTACTGAGAAGAACCGGCGAAAGAAACTCAGCGGGCTTTTTTTTTTTTTTTTAAATAAGCAGTTTGACATAAATTCGTTAAAATACAATATAAGAACTCCGATTGAAAGAGCCTGGAGCGATCAGTTCATTACCAGAGTGTGTTATCATTTAAATAATCATTAATATTATAGTAGCCTTTAACACACAAACGTTCTTTTACAATTTTTTTAAATTTAGCTATTGATGCATTTTGAACGTTTTCTGGAATTTTGTTGTAATAACGTATACATTGTCCCATAAAAGATTGACTTATTTTACGGAGTCTACTTGTGGGTAGGATCAATTTATTTTTGTTCCTAGTATTTATATCATGAAAATTATTATGTCTTAAAAATTTATCCTTATTTTTATGGACATACAAAACATTTTCAAAAATGTATTGAGCAGCAACAGTCAATACCTTTATCTCTTTAAACAAGTTTCTTAACGATTCTTTGGGGCCCAGATTGTAAACTGCACGAATAGCTCTCTTTTGTAAGATAAAGATTGTATTAATGTCGGTCGCGTTACCCCAAAGCAGAATGCCATAAGACATTATACTGTGAAAATAACTAAAACATACCAAGCGAGCCGTATCAACATCAGTTAACTGTCTTATTTTTTTGACCGCGAAAGCTGCTGAGCTAAGTCTACTCGCCAGTCTATTAATAAAATTAAAATCCATTTAGTAGTATTTGCGTGAAAGAGTAACAAACTTCCATCCATACGTATAAACTTTCGCGTTTATAATATTAGTAAGGATTTTGAGTTTGGTGCTTACAAAGTTAGTGATGGGATGGTGCCCAGTTTTCGTTTTATGATTTCTGACATGCCAAAATCGTACGGGCTACATGGCTCTTCCCGAATTACTTATACACATGGAGACAGAAAACGTGAGACTGGGTTGTCCGTTGGCTTAGCTAAAAAGAATTTAACACGAAAACGAATAAATGGAACATTATTTAAAACTTAGACACCCGGTGACGGTAGGTTGACTTGTAGATAATGCCTATGACATTTAAGTCCGCCGTACATATTGTGTGTGCATAAAGAATAAATAAATAAATAAATAATACAATTCTCGGAAAAAATTGTATTTGGAAAATTTAAATTAATATTCTTGTAGCGTGACTTTTGAAAACATATGTTAGTAAACTCGCTCAAATAATTTTTCAATCTAAACATATTCGCATCCTTAGCTACTACCTTTAATTCACGATTCTTATTAATTTAGACTTATTAGAAGTACTTATGACCATCGACAGTTTAGTTTGCGAATGTTTTCGTATTTAATACAGCCCAGTGGATATCCGGTACAACACTACGGTGATTAATTTGTTCTATAGCCAATTCAAACTGCGAATTGAGCATTCAAAACGATCGATACATATATGAATGCAACGGCCGAAAATAAGGTCGCAAAGATATTTGTGTGACATTCACAACGGGCAGTTGTTTTATTTTTAAAAAACCCACCGTCACAGCAAAGGTTCGCTAATGATTGCCCGAGATTCCAACTCGTGACCTCGGGTTAGGAATCGACTGCCTATTTGCCAAGCTGCCGGGCAAAAATAGATTTACTTATTAGAAAAAAATATTTCGCATCAATGCTGTATCGACGCCGTGCCACAATTCTTATTAATTGACTAGCTGTGCCCGCGACTTCGTCCGCGTGGAATTTAAAATAAAAGTAGCCTAAGTTACTCCTTATTACATCAGCTATCTTCATAGCCCTTTCAGAGATTAACCGGTACAAACAGACAGACAGACAGACAAAAATTTAAAAAAATGTTATTTTGGTATATGTACCGTGTATACATCCATATGCATTTAGTGAAAATCGGTTATTTTAATATTACAAACAGATACTCCAATTTTATTTATCTGTATAGATATATAGTGGCCTTTATGTTTATAGGTTATTATGTATTTCATTAAAAATGTACACAATAAATTAAAACCAATGATTCATCAAAAATATTTTTATACAAAGGTTATTATTACTGATAATTTAAGAGTTCTCGCTGTAACATGATGTTTCCAATTGATTTTTTTTTTATTTAAATTCATCGCGACTGCACGCGCCATGATTTCGCAATATTAAAGTCTAATCTGATTTTCAAAATCCCGTCTAAATGTATTAAATGTTATTTTCCTTAATTTTACAAATAATATTCCATTATCAAATATTTACAATATTCACGCCCGATTTCTGAAACACTGATCATCGCATAAGTTAACTAATCAACTGTCAAATGGCTTTTCAAATGTCGTTTAAGTTGGCAAAAGGATGATTAAACTCTCTGAATTGACCAGAATGATCTTTCTAATGATCAGAATTTCAATTTATTTTTACGATGATCAGTGTTTCAGAAACTAGTCCACACGGAATGGCGCCAAGAACATATCTTATCTGCATTTCTTCGATGAATAGTTATGCTTAATCTTTGAGCGAAAAGATCTAATACCTTGCGATCTCCGCGGCGATAAGACTTGGACGTAAACCCTGCAAAAATGTCAATGTGTGAAGACCCCACAGACCTAACATATAAACCGCAACAATAAATAATCTGAACAAAGACATATTTGCATCACTTAATTCAGCTGGCTGTGCCGACCAGACCCTGACCTAAGTAACCCTTAGATGAGAGGTAACCAAAGTCTATCTTTATTTACATTAGCAAATGCATAAAGAAAAGCAACAATTTTAAAAGATTTATTTTGTATTTTTTATTTACGTCATATTGTACATCTGTATACAATATGACGTAAATAAAAAATACACTACATACAATCTGTATATATGGCGATATAACAAGTTGCTATTAGCAGTTTTCAACATTTTTGCCATGTAGAGCACCGAGTTACTAAGAAATCCTAGCTCTTTAGTTTAGGGTTTTCCTCAAATATTTGTCTTAGTAGTTGAAAAAAAACTGTGATCCGCATTTACCTCGCAAACATTTTAATTAAAACTTGTATAAGGTAATATTTCATACACGTATAGAGGACGATGATGACGATAATTCCAAATATTAATGGCAACTTTTTTATCATAGTAACCTTGGTAAGTCGGTCGTACCGAACTTTGAACAAGATTTCAATACCGAAGTGGTTGTAAGACGTCTGACGCTTGGTAAGCATCATCGCTCGGCAATATATAGTTACATTGCCCTTACTTTAGGATAACATCCTGTGTTGTAAGGACGTTTTACAAACATAAATTTCACGTGGACAAACACCCAGATGCGAAACAACTATCTGTGGGTCACACAAATAGTTGTCCCGTGTGGGAACAACCAAAGCCAATACCTTTTGCAACTGCACCATGAAGTCAACTAGTTTTAACTGTGGTAGGGCCACGCAACACTTTTCGCTGTTGCACAAATTGGCAGGTCCGTCCGGGTAAGTACCACGACCTCACAGATACCGTAGGTAGAGATAGCTTCTGCGTTTCGTCTGGTAAAATAATTTTAGATCCTAGGGTTATCATATTTTCGCTGGTTACATCTATTGGCTGTTACTTTACGAGTCAATTCAAGGAGCACCTAGTAAAATATCTACCTTACCCCAATAATTAGTACAGAGACGAATAAATTTTAATCGCTTGCCAGTGTCAGATTTGAATTATTATAGCCACAATTTTGACAATTTTCACAGGTAGTTGTGATTTAGCACCTTAATGTGCCAAAACCGGTTTCGATTGAAGTTTAAAGAAAATCTTATGAGCATTGATGATGTCGTCATAATGTAAAGACTGGATCGTTTTTGTGATAGTACGTCAAAATACGGAATTTGTTTTTAAACGTTACATAATTTACAATCGGTACTGTGAATCCGTTTCATTTACATCACTATTTTAGCGAAGGCAAGCGAGCAGGCAGTACACCTGATGTTTAGTGATTACTGCCGCCTATGCACATCTTTATTATCTATAGGGTTGGGGATCAGAGTGGACTGTGGTCCTGTTTCATAATTAAGGTTGTAAGATGTATGTATGATTAATATTTCTATGAGACAAATCTAAATTAGTTTTTTTAGTAGATCGCATCGTTTTAGTTATTTTTGTGACCAAAACTGGAAAGCAAAAATTTTACAGTATTTAAAAGTTTTCACCTATTTTAAGGTTATTTTTTAATAATAACAACAAATGTTTTGTTGTATATTTTTATTTTATGTCGCCTAAGATTAGTATAAAATAATAATTTCTTTTATTTACGCGATTACACATTAGTAAATGAAACTATATTTATGCGATAAATCCATAAACAAAGTCTCATTTAGTTAGTTAAAAATATTGCTTATTTGGAATTGTGACATATTACCGCGCTTAGAACAAAGGTTCTACAGTAATATCTACTTTCCATTACCGTG